AACAAAAAGAGACAAATGAGACTTTTAAACTAAAAGGATTCTGCACAACAAAAGAAATAATCAACAGAGTGAACAATTTGTAGAATGTGAGAAAATATTTATAAACTACTAATCTGATAGTGGACTGATATTCTGAATTTATAAGGAACTCAAACAATACAATAAAAACCCCAAATAATCCCATTAAAAAGTGGGCTAAGAACATCAATAGACATTTTTCAAAAGGCGGATGGTCAAAAAGTATAGGAAAAAAATGTTCAACATCACTAATCAGAGAAATGCAAAACTATAATGAGATAATCATCTTACACCAGTCAGGATAACTTTTATTGAAAAGACAAAAAATAACAGATATTGAAGCGGATGCAGAGAAAAAGGAATGCTTATACACTCTTGGTGGCAATGTAAAGTAGTACAACCTCTATGGAAAACAGGATAGAGATTTCTCAAAGAACTAACAAAACTATCATACAATCCAGCAATCTCACTACAGGCTTATCTACCCAAAGGAAAAGAAATCATATCAAAAAGATATTTGCACTCCTTTTTTTTCACAGCTCTATTCATGATAGCAAAGAAACAGAATCAACCTAAGGGTCCATCAATGGAGGGCTGGATAAAGAATATGTGGTATATATAGTCGATGGAATGATACTCAGCCATAAAAAAGAATTAAATCATGTCTTTTGCAGCAACATGTGTAGAACCATTATCTTAAGTAAAACAACTCAGACACAGGAAGATAAATACCACACATTCTCACTTAAAAGTGGGAGCTTAATAATGTGTACACATGGAAGCAGAGCATGGAATGATGAACAATGGAGGCTCAGAGAGGTAAGGGGAATGAGGAGAGGTTGTTTGGTAGGTATAATGTTCATTGCTCCAGTGATTGATGCACTGAAGGTCCTAACAGCAACTCAGTGCAATATATTAACATAGCAAAATTGCACTTGTACCCCGTAAATATATATAAATAAAGTTAATTATAAACAAAAGAGGAAGACCCATCAGGGGTACATGTGCACAGAGAAAAGGCCATATGAAGACACAGCAAAACACTGTGGCTATCTACAAGCTAGGGAGAACCACACCTACCAAAACCTTGATCTTGGACTTTGAGCCTCCAGAATGGTGAGAAGTAAACTTTTCTTGTTTCAGCCTGTAATGTTTTGTTATGATAGCCCTAGTAGATGAATATAAGCTGTGACAGAGAGACTTTCTACAGGCAAAACTTCTAGAAGAGCCAGAAGACACAGGCTGTCTGCAACTGAGAAAGTACTTCTAATTTAATAAGCAAACAAACATAGTCATAGGCCAAGAGCGTGTGTGATGTGCACTTCTTACCTGTAAGTGCTTAGCATACAGTACCTAGAACAGAGTAAACACTATTTCCTCAATTTTAAGTTAAGCATTTTTTTCATTTCTGAAACAAGATATATATATCTTATATATATATGCAACCAATAAATATAATTTCCCTTAAAAATACCAATACAAAGGAATAAAATTATAATACTATACTTTGGGACAGATTAATGAAGAGATATTAATGTCAGAACTATAAAGTTCTTTATTATAAAGATGCCAATCTTCTTAAAAAAAAACTAAAACTTCAATGCAACTGTTAAAAAAATTCAGAAATTGGTCCAGATAGAATTTTATCAAATGCTTTTGCACTAGCTATTGAGATGAGAAAGTTTTCCTCTGTTAAGCTGTTATGGTGATAAAGAATTGCTCAGGAAGATAAATTATTCAGATGTTTAAAACTGGAGTAATCTTAACAGTGCTTCTCAAACTTTAATATGAATATAAAATCATCTGAGGATCTTGTCAGAAGGCAGATTAAGATTCAGTAGGTCTAGGGGAGATATTCAGACTTTTGTACTTCTATCAAGCTTCTAGGAAATGACAGGGTTGAGTACGAGGCCCACACTTTAAGGAATAAAGATAAATAACCAAAAATGCTTTTTAACTGATCATCCCTTTAGAAAAAGCTACCATGGGAATTGTCACAGTGTAGCATTTCTGAGAGGATGAGAGAAATTGCTCTGTGATGTCATCAACAACTGTCCACAAAAAGTGGCACAACAGCACAATAGAGGCTAGGGGGAGTGAACTCTAATTGCAGGTCACTGGGATTCCATGGCAATGTGACCTATAACATATTTATGATGGATCTTAATGGATCATATATTTTGCTGGGTAACAATGGTTTAAAGCACAGAAGTACAATTGTGTGGATGTTTATTATACATTCGTTGGTCCATACTGAAAGGCAAAACAAGATTTTGGAATAAACTCAAGTTCTCTTTCTGCTTTTCTAGAATTATCTAAACTCCAGAAACACCATTCTCTATTAACTCAGATTCACAAACATTCTGAATTAGTAACCTGTCATAGTAACAGATTTTCTACTAGTGAATGATTTTTGCATTGGTGAAATGTCCCCCTACTTGTCTGTTCTGTATTACTCTTTCAATGTAGCAAGGATGAAAAGCTCACTAGCAGTATTTACCCTGACATTTTTAACTGTTATTGACCATAGAGTTTTTTTCAGTAGAGTCACCTACTGGAAAAAGTAGAGTCACCTACTGGAAAAAGCCTGTTATGAAATTATCCCATTCAATCCGCACAACCATACACTGAAATGGGCATTATAACTTTCAGATGAGAAAGTGTGTTTTTAAGCATCTCTTTCTCTCAGCTCTTGTGATCTTTCTCAAGCTCTCCATGTCTGTTTGAATTATTTCCAGAGTCTGTTTTACATTTTGCAGTCACAAATTCATGTACGATCTGTGATGTCATTATTGCTCTTCCTCTCCTTAGTTGTCAGCTGTCTTTTTGTTTTACTCTCTTGTTTCTATAGGTCTACATCTTCTTAAATTAAATTCCTCACAGGTATAAAGCAGTTTCTGTATAAAGTTTTCTTCTGTCTTCTGGAAGAGTATGCCTAGATTTTTACTCCATTTACATTTTACAAGTTACATTCCTTTTTCTGTTTTTGATACACAATTTTTTGTTTGTTTGTTTACGAGATTTTTTCCTACTCACTCAGGCAGTTTTATCAGCACCTTCTAACCGCTGAAAAATATGACTATGTGGATTCTCCTTGACTTCTTCTCATATTGACCTGGGCACCTTCTGATTAATTACACAGGCATTTGAGACAGAGGGTTGAATGTTGATTACACACATTCTCTGTAACACTATTCAGTCCCCACGCAGGTGGCTGAGGGCGAGAAGGGTGGTATAGCTGGGTTATGTATAGCTGGCCTTGGCCTAGGAGTTTTGTCTCTATTTCTCTACAAATTTGTTAAGACTACTATGTCTGGGACCAACTCAGCCAGTGAGGAATCTTGAGCTGTTCTATGTAGGGGATCATCTCAGACATCAGAACATTCCCCTAATTCAGGGTAAACTAGCCACTTTGTTGAGAAGTGAGACTGGCATGATATCCTTCAGTTCATGGTCTTTTGGTTTTATGGGTCAGCAGGTTTCTGTGCATTGTGTGTTCACTTCTGGTCCACATCTGTTAAGTAGACTTACCTGTAGATCTCATGCCCTGCTTGTTAGAAAACTGTCAGAAGAGTAGGAAAAAAATAGCATGGTGGGATAATTTCATAGTTTGATGGCTGCTTCTTCACTCCTGCTGCCTTTGCTGAGGTGGAAGAAAAAGGCTCCGAATGATTATTCCTGTCCTTCCTCCAACCCTCTCATACCTCAGCCCCAGATTCTAGTATCAGAAGGACTCTACACTGGTGGGCTCTTCAGTGTGTCTTCCAACTGCAACACTGCTCTGTACCTCGAGATTGGAGAGTGTGGGGCTTGGTCCAAACTGCATCCCATTGGCTGAACACTTTGCATTTGGTGCAAAATTAGAGCTGCAACATCAGTGCAGATGACTCTATTTTTAGGCTTTTGTTCACTGCCTGTGTTTTGTCTACCATTTGTTTAAAAGAATAAACTGGAAAACTTATTGGCTCACCTAGAAGAATCATTTGAGTGTCAGGTTTATAGTAGAAATTTCTTTGAAAAATTTTATCATTTCTGCCTTGCTAATACCTGAATCTCTAAGCAAATTCAAACATTTGAGCATTTATCACATGCAAGACACAAGAAGACAAATATTTGTAAAACTCATTTTCTTCCCTGGACATTACAGATAGGTGGGGAAAGCAAATGAGTTAATTAGTGACCACAAAACAGAAGCTGTTGAACAGGAAATCTTTCCATTTAGGAAATGTCATAGTTACTAGCTGAAATGAAACCCCATGAAACTCTGCCAGTCAATAAAAGTATCACTTTGGACACATCACAAAAAGACAAACGTGCAGGCTTCTGGAAGCCAGTGTGGTGGTTGGTAGAGGATGCTAGGGGGATAGAGAGAATCAACATCTAAATCTGGCAAGTTCTTCCCTTGCCAACCAGAAAGTTCAGACAAGTCATATAGGCTTAAGAATAACTTAAAATAAAAATTTGGGAATGAGGATTTCTCCCGAAGGCCTAAATGAAGAAAGAAAGATTGTGGAAGGGAGAAGATACTCTTGGAGATGCGAAATGTGTTTTATTTCATTAGTTCTTCAGGCTAGAAGAGCACAGAAATGCATATGCCACTCAACAACCACTGACCACTAAAAAACCAAATCACAAAGCCTCGGAGTCAGACAGGAAGTAGCACACGGAGATCCAGCTTCTTAGAGAAATGAAGCTTCGATTCTGAGGTATCCCTTTGGCTCCAACTAGGGTGGCGGCAGGTGGGTCGGTACAAGTACACAGCGCTCCTGAACGCTCTCCAGAAGACCACAGGTGAAAAGTCATTCGTCATCAAGACACTGCCCATCTTAAAGCCTTGGTGAAACAGAGTACAGGGCGCTGATCAAGTAAAACTCTGTGGTCAGATTCATGAGAATGCTGGGAGTTGAGTGTCCTGTCATGAAATAAAACATTTTCAGGGGATATGACAGTTTTCTGTAAGCAGTGGTAGGTGATTCACATACCTGTATTTTCACCACATTCTTTTCTTGTCCATAGAAAAATGATTTCCTAGCTTCAAACTCTTCCATAAGGATGTTTCCTGAGGTTGTGCTTCGAAAGCGAAGCAGCAAATCTTCTGAAGCAGACCACATCTTCTCACGCATGTAACCTAGCGTGACTTCCTCAATAACATCCTGGCAAGAGATATTTCTTATGGTTACACGTCACACATCAGGTGAAAGGAGCACATAAAATAGCTTCTGGATAGTTTATCTTTTAGAAAAATGCTACGGATTTCTCTTTTTGGCTTGGTTTTAAAAACAGATTTTAACCAGAGCCAAGGGATGAACTGGCTTAGCTTCTTTCTAGTGACATGATTTTGGAATCCTCTGAGCTCGGTACTGAGCTGGTATGATAACACAGCTGAATGGTTTCAGGATTTGGAGGCAGAGAAGTATGGATGATGCAGGAAGGACCAGGCGTGAGGCTCGAGCTCCACAACATAAAAGGGATAAGGATGATTACCGTAAAAACACGCGTTACCTCCTCACTCCCTTGGGCTGCTGAGGAAGAGGCAGCAGTGCCTGTGAGGTCCTCAGGCTTCCCTCCCCCCCCCCTTTTTTTCCTCAGGCCAGAGCAGGCAGAACCCCGCAAGGAGCTGGGGGAGAACTCACAATGATGCTCTGGGACAAAACAAAATGTGTGGGCAGAAGGAAAGCCGGTGAGAGAGTAAAGACAAAAGTGATCAAGGGCAGACAGGAGATCTAGAGGAATGAGAACAAAGAGAGAAAGGGGTTATAAGAAGGTTTTATGTGGGCTATGAACCGGGTTTCCTTTTCTGGTCATTGAGAGATGCTAGCAAAGACTGGACTCACTTCAGCTGATGACTCTTATCCAGTGCGACTGGGATCAACAGTTGGTCAAACGATAAAAGTGAAATGATAGAAAAGATGCATAACCACCTTTAAGAGGGGGCACATATATGTGCGTTCACTGAATAAAATCAGTCACTTCAGGTTGTTTAGAAGAAATACAATTTTTTTTTCTTTTACCGTGTTAGACCCTCCACTGTTTTAATTATTTTAACAGACTGATGCTCAATGTAACAAAAAGTCACACCTGGGGCAACTTTCAATGAGCAATTTTAATTACAAATTTTAACTCTTCGATGCTGCTTCTTTAAAGTTTGATATGTCTTTTCAATCATGGCGTATGATTTTTTAGTAGGTTCATAATTTCAGCTTTTAAAAATTTAGCACTAACAATTCACTGCTACACGGTCATTTCCTTAAAAATTATAAGAACTTTGAACATCTGAAATTAGTTAGTAAACAATGTTCTTCACTATCTTCTCATGGTCAAGAATTTTTGGTAGCATTGTCAAACTCAGGCCACATTTTTCCCCTAAGTTTTAGTAAATGCTGTATTGGTGATTCTGTCCACAATACTGCAACAATGTGGTATCTTTGATGTTGTTGACTTTTAGTGATTCTATAAGATCTGTATTTGTGCATTCTATTTTTTTTTTCCAAAACAGAACTCAATTATTGTCAGCATTTTCTCTATAAACATACTAAAAATGCCTGGACCAGCAATTTTCTTATCTTTTGGGTCCAACTTTTGATCTTAAGTCCAAAGCAATTTTGGTGAGCATTCATTCCTTCAAGAGTATTTCCCCTTTGGGAAGCGGTACTCACTTTTTAAAGGAACAGTGTATCTGTGTTAGAATAAATCTATTTCTTAAGCCTCCAACTTGTGTTAGTAATTCCAGAGCAATGGGCACTCAGAAATACTTGTGGCCATGTCAAAAACAATGTGAAAAGTGGAAAAGATACAAAACTAGAAATTGGAACACTGGGAATAAACCTCTGTTCGTTGATGAAATCTGTACAAATTGTAGAATTAGTACAGTTGCTTCACCCCCTCTGTGCCTCAGTTTCCCCATCTATAACAATGTAAGATGAGAATATTTGCTCTACTTCTACTCAGAGAATGATTTAGGGATCAACATGACATGAAAGTGCATTAGAAAGTGAAACTCTGTACCAACATGGGGTACTGGGCTATGTTTTTGATTTCAGAAGACCTTATTTGCAGTGCTACACATTCTTTGGGTCGTTAAAAGATTACTTTTGACCCTAACTTATTTCAGAAGTTTCACATTCCTCTGACTTTACTCTGCCATTTCTTCATGGCTTTCCGCCAACCTCAGACAAAGCAAGGAACCACCTCACACAGAAGACCAGGCTGGCCTCATTACTTGCTCATGGCTCAGTCTCCTTTTGTTTCAGGACATCCATTCCAAGCACCTAGATCAGGGGTCCTCAAACTTTTTAAACAGGGGGCCAGTTCACTGTCCCTCAGACCATTGGAGAGTGCGCACTGTGGGCCCGCGACGAGTCAGCTGCTAAGCAGGACAGGCAGCAGCAGCAAAAACACCTGGCGGGCCGGATAAATGTCCTTGGCGGGCGGCAAGGACACCTGACCTAGATCCTTACTTCTGTGTTAAGAACATAAATACTCAGATCTGATAAGGCCATGATCAGACAAGTCCATCTATTGGCAAAATGCTCTCCTCATTTCTCTATGCATGGAGGGAGAACTAAAAAAAAAAAAATGGATGAAATTAAGTGACCTAGAACTGAAACTGGAAAGAAGCTCTTTGGCCTTATGTTTTCTAATAGCTTTTTTCGTGTGTGTGTGTGTGTGTGTGTGTATAAATAAAATATGTATCCCTTGGATCCTATACATATAAAAATGGAATATTTGCGAGAGAATTAGGACTAAAATGGACAAGGCACGGGAGGAAATTAGTAGGTGCCCTAAGACTTAAGCCAGTCTATGTATACATATAATGACAAAAAGCACTTGCGCAACAGATTCTAATGTCGACACTTCTAAATGTGTTTTTTCTTCCTATATTTAACATATTACATGTTCCAACAGCCAATAACTATTCTGTATATGTTAACTAACACATTGTTTCTTTGCTCCTAATAAGCAGCTCAGATAGGGACTGTTTATATAGTTCGGTTAAAAAGAAATGGGAGGAGGGGATCAATTTTTTTTTTACCTTAAGACAGAGTCTGGCTCTGTTGCCCTGGTTAGAGTGCAGTGGTATCATCATAGCTCACCACAACTTCAAGCTCCCAGGCTCAAGTGATCCTCCTACCTCAGCCTCCCCAAATGCTGGGATTACAGGCTCCTGCTACCATGACAAGCTAATTTTTCTATTTTTTGTAGAGATGAGGTCTCACTCTTGCTCAGGCTGGTCTCAAACTCCTGAGCTCAAGCAATCCTCCTGCCTTAGCCTCCCTGAGTGCTAGGATTACAGGCGTGAGCCACCATACCCAGCTGATAAATTGCTTTTGATAAGTAAAATGTGGTAAAAGAAAGCTTTCAAATATGTGTCAAGGATAAATTAAAAAGGATCTTTACTGTTTAAATACAAATTCTAATTTAGTATAGCATGTTTAACTCTTGGTTAGTACAATATATGGACATAGGGCTAATTTTTATGCCAGTTAATCAAAAGCCAAGTATGAAATACACTCAGTTGTGCTGATGGCACTTATATTTGGACATAGGTTCATCCAGAATTCCAGAAATTATGTAAAGTAATGAAACTATGCTAAGAAGATTATCTTAGAAGAAGCAAACATTTATTTACCCATCCTGTTCTTTGCCCAACTCTGTCCTTTGCTCCTGAAGCCATCCTGGGGATGGCTGGGATCAGCTGTGGCAGAGATGCCATCTCTAGCATTTTGTAGGAAAAAATGATATTTTGGTTTGAAAGGTCAAGTTGCAGGCTGGAGGGCGGGGGGAATAATACATTTTGTATACTGACAACCAAGGACTTGTCACTAATTAAGCTTAACTGTGTCAAGGAAATCCTGAAACTTGAATTCTTAGGATAATCACCATCCCAAATAAACTGCAAAAGCTTTCTTCTCCCTGCTCTATTTGGTTTTGTTATGCCAATATGGGCAAAATTCTAAGAGTTGGAAACAATGCAGGCACGTTCCACTGCAGTTCATGAAGACTTTTTTCCATATCCAGCCTTCAAATAAGTTGCCTTCAAATTAGCCTTCAAATTAGTTCATCATTTCAATGATTCAAAAATAGAAAACCAATCCCACATATCTTTATACAATACTATTTTCCATCCAACACCAACTTCCTACCTCAATTTCTTTTTCCGTGAGCCATGATTCCTTACAGAAGTATGATTCAGGCAGGACCCAGGAACCCTCTTTTGAATCAACGTTGTAATAGTAGTCATATTTCTCCTGCAGGGTGAGTTTGAGCCATGAACCTTCATTAGACACTAAAGAAAAAAGTTTGTTAAATTCTACAGAGAAGCACTGAATCCTTAAACAGTAGTTTCTTCAATATGTAAAATAACTTCATAAATATGTTTTTCACCAAACATTCAGATGACCTAAGGTTAAAGGCATTAGAAATGATCTGCTAACATGGAACAAAATCAATGTATTCGATGGCAGATCTCTGCTAAGGCAAAGAAAAGGAAGAAAGACAAATGTCTAATGCTAGTTCTGAATCTCAAATCTTTCATGAAGATGATAAGAGTAAAAAAACAGCCAAAGAGAAGGAAAAGGAACAAGGAATATATATATAGACATCTGCCATCGAACACGTGGTCTCCTTTGTCTACATGTAGTGTTGCCTACATGTGGTGTCTACATGTGATGTACATCCATGTAGACAAGGGAGACCAATGAGCAAAATCCCATTTGCTTACAAAATCTTCCAGCAATTTCTCCAATAAGGAGTGACCCACAAGGACTGTGGCTCATATTTAAGAAGGACCAATGATCTGAATTAAACCAAAGCAAAAGTGACTCACCTTTGGAGACAACTTTATCCAAAGTACAAAATGTCAAATGTACAACACAAAGGTCAACTAAACTAGGGAAAAAAGAAAATTCCTGGTCCCTCTGACTCATCTTACTCCATGCAACCGCACAAAATAGTTAAAACAAATATTGACAGGATTTGTGTGTGTCGGGGGAGTGTTCGAAAAACCTATGTCTGGCATGGCTTAAATTGGCCAAGAAGTACATCTCCTTCTCACGAATCCATGAACTACACTTCATATTTAGAAATCGTTTTATTTTGCTGAATGGTCATGATCCCTGTCCCAGGCCAGACAGCTAAATACAAAAAAAGTTTTAAAGTTCGAATGTAGACTAAGCCAAATCAGCTGCTACCAAGTGAGTATTAGACTTACTGCCTTTATGGGTAAATCAAAGGTCAAGTAAATGTCTTCACAGAATATTGAAATGAATTCAAATAACGAAACAGAGGTAACATTAAGGCCCTTTAATATGCATTGATTCCTTTTGTCTTTAAATGTTCTATTTGTGAATGCCCAGGCAGAGAGACTTATTTCTTTTCAAATGGGCAGACAAGGTGTTCACCTGTTTAGAAACACTGGTTTACTAGAACATGCAATGTAAATTGAACATCAAATTGGAATGTTCACAAGTAATTATTATATTTTCGATCACCAATAGCTGTCAGATTCATAAATGCTTTCAGAAGAATAATCAGCCTTCTTAAAGCAACTCTGTCAATGGGAAGGAACGAAGGCAAGCAAAATGGGTGAAAATGTTCCTCCCGTCACTTGACCTGAGAAGTGAAAAGCCAAGCACATTGGTGTCAGGAGGCTCTACTTGGGTCGCAATACGACTGGGTAAGAGGAAAGGACAATTCCTACCACTTTCATATTTAGCTTGAATTTATAGTAAGATCAGAGGCTGAGCAGAGCTGCTTTCCAGCACATGATCCAAATATTTTTCCTAAGAAATGTAGCTGCTTTGTTACTTATAGGAAAAACACTAATCACAGACCTTTAAGGAGAACACAAAGGAGAAAGATTCCAGTTAATTAAGAGGTGGTGAACATTCTAAAAGGAGGCATACTTTCTAGATGCCTTCCAGACAAAATTATACCTATATAGGGCTAAACTGAGTTAGAAGGCTGAGTAATTCACCTGGCAGGGGACACTTCAGTTATGGAAAGCATAGACATCCTAGAACCAGAGGTGAGAGAGAGAGGAATAAATTATCCTGTGCACTCCCCAAAATAATGTTCATAGCTCTATCTGGGGGTAAAAGTCATCAATTTCCCAGAAAGCTTCGCTTCTTTCTAGAGCAGGGGTCAGCAAACTTCTTTAAAGGGCCAAAGAGTAAACATTTTCAGCTTTGTGGGCTACAGGTCTCTGAAATAACTACTCAACTCTACTAGTGTAGAATAAAAGCAGCCAGAGACCATAATATAAATTAATGAGTGTGGCTGGATTTCAGCAAGACTTTACTTATAAAAACAGGTGGCAAGCCAGGTACAGTGGCTCATGCCTGTAATCCCAGCGCTTTGGGAGGCTTAGGTGGGAGTACTGCTTGAGACCAGGAGTTGGAGACCAGCCTGGGCAACATAACAAGATCCTGTCTCTAAAAAATATAAGAAGAAAGAAGAAGGAAGAAGGAAGGAGAAAGAAGGAAGAAGAACAAAGAAAGAAGAAGAAGAAGAAGAATTAGCTGGGCGTGGTGGTGCATGCCTGTACTACTACTACTCGGGAGGCTGAGGCAGGAGGATGGCTTGAACCCAGGAGGTCAAGGTTACAGTGATCTATGATTGTGCCACTGTATACCAGTCTGGGTGACAGAGTGAGATCCTGTCTGTAATTAAAGAAAAAAAACAAAACAGGTGGTAGCACAAGGAATTTACTAAAACTATTAGAATAAATGAGATCAGCAAGATTATAGGATATAAAATAAATATACAAAAATTAATTGTACAAAAGGATATGTCCATCCAAAAACTTGGACGTGTTTACAGCAGTATCATTCAGAGTAGCCAAGAATAGGGGCTGTCATTTTCTCCTTTTGTTGGAAATCTCAATGTCAGTTTCCAAGTCTGAAGACTGAGTATTAAGCTGCATGATTTCAAAGATACTTTCCAGAGCTGACATTTCATGATCTGCCATTGGACTCAGTAGGCACAAGTATTTGCCAGCTGATCCCTGGCAGACCAGTTCACTATACTTTATTCCACATATTCAAAATCACTCTTTACTCCTACTTAATACTATGCAATCATATATCATTTGTCTCACAAAGGATTAAGTGAGAGAAAATGCTACTGTAAAAATTTGCTTATATCACTGGCAGAATGGATCAACAAGCATGACACATATAAGGCAAAGCCTCCTCAAATACCATATTATCTCAATTCTATGATGCCACCATGTATTGCCACTGAATCCATTACAGCTTTCCAAGAAAGAAAGAAAGGTCTAAAAATATTTCCTTTGCCACAGATAAAAAAAATTCAGAAATGTACACCTGAAAACAATAGTTATCTTAAAATTAAGAAGCTATAATACCATAGAAACCATCATATTTAAAACATTTAGTTTGCGCTAAGTAACACAAAAACTTACCTTTTCCAGTTTTGAGCCCTTTTGCCTTCTCAAGGGCTTCATAGTACCTGTCAGCACATTCAGGGATTATGTCATTTGCATTACAAGCAGAAGACTTCAATATAGACAAAATATCATTTGGTTTTTTCCCCTCCAAACACTGATTAACATCAATGATCAGCGTAACACCTGGGTAATAAGAAAAAAAATGTTTCTTGTTAATGGTTATCTTTTACTTCAAAGGCATGCAAATATATAATTCATACTTTGAGGAACGCATTAGTATTAAACCTTTTTATGTACCACATATGCCTGAGCCAATAACCAACTCATCTATCAGTTTAGGTTGTAAGAGTAAGATTCCATGAGAGCACGGTTTATTAAAAACCACAATATTTCCTGGTTATTCTTTTGCAGTATCAAGGCACTGGGTTTTGCTTGCTGTAGTAATCTATGAAACACGGTGAATGCATAACAACAGTAGATGGGCAGCCCTGACCTAGGTCATTAATCTGTCTTTGAGTACCAGCTTTACAAAGGCATCTACTATTTGAAGATAAAAAAAATGCTATTTAAACTATGGAAATCCTAGTACTCTCTGGTATTGTGGTAGTATATGTGGCAAGACTGTCATAAGCAACCTTAACAAATGTTCTAGAAGGGTACAGCTGGAATGGCCATGTGTAATGGAGTCCAGAAACTTGCCTCTGAAGCCAGTTTAGACCTAACAAGCATTTTATCCCATTGCAAATATCTGCCTGTCTCCATGAACAAAACCTAAAGAAAGTTAAACTTAGTGAATTGCTTAAAGCAAGTTAACTTAGTGAATTCTTTAGTATCTCTTTAGTTCCAGGTAAGAATGCTGGGCCCAACCAACGAAACTACTGTTTTTACAACCAATAGTGAGTTAGAAATGGAGAACAAAAAACAAACAAACAAACAAAAAACAAAGGAAGAAGCCAGGTTAAAATATTTCCTTGATGAAAAAAGATCTTAATGAAAAGGGGAGAGATGGATATTTTTTCTTACACACATAAACTCTACAAGTGTTAAATGATATTGCTGTACTCAAACTGTGTTCACATGCGCATAGCACTATGGGGGTTGAAGAGGCAAGAAAAACAGCTCAACCTACAGGAACCTGGAGCCAAAGCCATGAAAACCTGGAGGGCCACATAAAGACTGAAGGAGGACTTCTCTAGCACACGCCAATGGTGGCTGAACAAAAGGTACAGCAGTACGTTCTTGTGCGTATACAGATTAGGAGGAAATGGGTGAACCATCTTCCTTTTTCCTCTTCTCTAGGATGGAAAAAGATGTAGTACTAGCATTTGAGAAGTCTGTGGTCTGAGAGAAGCAGAAGGAACAAGTAAACGACGAAGAATTCTAACGTGAATTACACCTGATAGCTTCATCTAACTAACTCAGTAAAATGTTATTTTCCTCATAAAACAACACTAAAAAAGGCAGGGATTTCTTGCCTATATTCATATCGTGAGTATTGATGTACAAGGAGCTGGTCCACAGGCCAATTCTCGGATAACTGAGGCTAATTCCTTACATACCAGTTCTCATCTCAATAGAAACCATTTTCAATAAAACTCTAAAACATGCCTTAATAGTTGCTATCTTGCTCTTCATTGTACCCACAGTCTGGTACACAGTAGGTACTTAATGTCTGCTACGAGCTGCCAGAAGAGTCCTTCATGTCATTAAAATTATACTGTGTATAATATAGTGATACTTTTGAGGACTATAGAGGTGTTTGGGCTTATTTTCTCTGCCCTAAGTGGACTCTAACTCCTATGCTTTGTAGCTTTTCCCTTTTCCTTTGCTGTCAACAAACTATCATTTCTTATTGACATCTGTGCCTGCCTATGGCAGCCAAACACTTTCTACTTTGTGATTTGTGGCTTCTGACATCCCCTTGAGTCAGGAAGACAGACAACCAAAGATATTATAATAGAGTCATGCCTAAGAATCAATAGGTTCAATCGGTATGTCTGAGGGGTCCCCAGTAAGTAAAGTAGATCAGCTCTAATGTACAGGCTTTGGGACATTTACTTTGTTTTACTTAATCTGTGGGTTGTAGTTAAGTTCTAGATAGTTGAAGATGTTAAATAAGTGATCTCCAGAAAGTCAGGTACGTTTCTGTTAAGGAACAAATGAAAAAAACCTCCCATAAATCTCCCAAGAGATCCAAAAAAAATGTTTGCTTTTTATCTTAAGTCCTATACTAGCAGGCTCACTTAAGGCATGCATTCGCAATGCAGGCAATACAACCTGAGCAAAAATTGTTTTTTGTGGGGTGGGAATGAAAAAATCTTTTTATGTATAAGGCATAGATCTACATATGGTACATGAACAGGTACACACTATATCTGTGGCATTAAAATTTCATGGTAAGGAGTGATTAGGCAAAAAAAAAAAAAAAAAAAAAGTCTAAAAAGATTCCTTAGGGTGAAATAATGAAAAAAAGGTTGTGAAACATTGCTCTAAGGAGTCAAAAATAGAGGCAAACCTACTTTAAAAGCAAGCAAGATACTCCAGTGAAAGTGAACCCTAGGCCAAAATGAAGGAGACTTCAGTTACTCTGCCTTTTTAAATCTTGCTTGTGGTAAAATATATGGGCCAATACATTTTCTCTTATCAAATAATCTGGGAGTATGTTTGATGCTTATAGCATGTGACCAGAATCTGTTTTAAGTCTTCATGCAAAGGGTAAAGGAATGCTTTTAAAAGTAAGATTAAATTCCTATTGAAAACCCAGAAAATTCCTGACATCAGAATATAGATGGATTTAACTTCGGAAAATTTTTGTTGTTGGTATATATCATAGAAGAAAGTATATCAACTCTTCTGAGGGACAGGACAGAGGGAGAAGATGGGATTTTAGATGGGGAAGTATAGAGTACAAAATCACACATTTGAGGAAACCTCTCACTTTCATAGTCAATAGAGCCATGAGTCTTGATGTGAAAAACACGATCAACATTTGCAGGCCCAAAGTAAGAAGAACAATGAATAAAAGGAATAAAATAACTTCTAAATCGGTTTGATCTTTAAGAGAAAAATCATAACTATTTAAGGCTATTTGGATATCTATATTACAATCTAATTTCTTAAAAGTCTCTTTTCAGACTATGGTTGCCTTCAGTTTTATATTTAAATCTCTTACCCACACAGTTCAACTTTATTACTTTTTTCCTTAAGGAGTAGAGTGCTAGAAAGGAAAGATTTCAAAGTTCCTAAGGGTATAAAAGTTCAAGTTTGAGAAATAGACATTTTTCCGAGCTAAGGAAATAAAAACCACATGTTTCTTGCAGATGTTTCCAAAGTTAAAAGCACATCTGTGGAATAATGCTAAGGCATCTTAAGAGTACTCTAATCTGATACACTGGAAGAAATTCTAATTATGCCATGAGTTGGCAGGTTAATGAACTATAATTTTAGGAATCTTATTTTAATCTATGTAGGGTATTCATAATATGGAGAGTGTTAGTATATCAGTTTAGAAGCTATTTCAGATTGTCATGTATATTTTCATACTATTCCTCCTTTAAAATAGAGGGTTAAGATAAAATAAAAATTTTCATCATTTGAACCAATATGGGGATTCTGCCAGTTGAGGATTATACCTATTCTAATTATGTACTATGGAACCAGGGAAGTAACCATAGGGTGGGTTTGGGGACGCACTGTGAGACGGACTCAAGCTAAAACTGCATTGATCACCTGACCTCCACAAGCCCCTACTCCGACTAGTGAACCACAGTAATAGTTAGGGTCTCCTGGAATTAGTGTCAGTTCAGAGCCAGTGCCCAGTAATCCCTGAAAAGTCTGCTTATGTCCCTTTCACCAAGTGTAGTCACCCTGGTAAAAAGCCATAGGTTCCTTTGGGAAAGTCTGGAAGATTAATAGTATAAATTTCTGGTCGTGTGGCAGGGTCTTTCCTTAAGGGAATTGGCCTCCCTTTCATTTGAGGGGTTCTGGGTTTATAAACTGGCTTTAGTCTGGGAAGTGACTGAGGGACTGTGACTTTTTGTTTTGATGATTCAAGTTAGACTTCTGTTCACTTGATCTAGAACTCTTCTACTTGTATAGATTAAGTAGGAATTGAGTAGATTACCAGTCTGTTTTATTTCTAGGAGCGTCTTGATCAATTAGCCAACTCCACAGGTCTCTGTGAGTCAGACTATTCCAATTACTGTGCTTGACAGTAACCACATTCACTTACCTTGGTGACTAAGTGCTGATACCTATCCCCTGCCAGCCTGCCCTACAAATTTTGACTCACCATCTTTAGTCCAGTGAGCCAATTCCTTAAAATATCTATACACTCTCTCTGTATATGTAAGTATGCATGTACGTGTGTGTATCTACCTACCTATGGATAGACAGACCTATCCTACTGATCTATTTCTCTGGCAAACCCTGATCAATAACCAAGAGGGGCATGGAAAGGAGAATGGACATTTATTAAGCAGAAATGAGGTAGTTTTCTAAGGAACAAGAGAAAAAAATTTGATTCAATCATAAAATTTGAGAGCTTAGAAAGCATTTTTTGCTTTCAGGATTTTGTTTGGCAACACTGTCAAATTTTGTTGGAGACAGCATCTAATCATTGAAAAGAAAGCAACCAACTAATTTTTACCAAGAAGTAAAACTTGGTAACAGAGTCCAAATCTTTCCAGAAGTTAAAAATGAAATGACTTCAGCCACATACCCAAATACAAGCAAAGCAAGTTTCATGAACAAAAGGCGCATACTCACCTTGTTTCGCTCTGTCTTTGTTCCCGTTGGCCTCATTGATGGCTTGCTGTATTTCCTCCAGCCAAAGAACTTTAGAAATACTCTCAGGATTCTGTCAACAATGTCATAGGATAAAAGAACAGTGAATGATGAGAAAACAGGATTAATAACTGCTTTTCAGGAGCCATTTTAGTGTAATCTCCACAGATGTTTAATAATCAACTACCGAGCATTGCCTTACATTGTACAAGAAATAGACTCTAAATCTGACCACTTTTCCCTTCTTCCCAGCCCACTGTCATCTCCCAACGGACAGCTGCTTGGTCTATTTGCTTTTGCTGCTTCCAACTTTGTCCTCTACTGAGAACCAGATGATCTCTTCCAAATGGACATCTCATTACACCACTCCTCTGCTAACACTCTCCCAAAAGCTCCCCCCTGCACAAACTCCTTTCTCCTGGACTTTGGAGCTCTGATGATGAGTCCCTACTGCCCCTCTGGCTTCACCTCACACCCTCCACTTTTCCATTCCCTGTCGGAACTTCACAGCAGCCTCCTCCAGGCCATAATAATCAACCCTACCTGCATGGCTACTGGCCTTTTCTTGTCATTCAAGCCTCAACTCAAATGCTATCTCTTCCAAAATGTCTTTCCTGTCTACCCTAGTCAAATACTCTCCCCCAGTCAATAACCTTGATTCCCAAACTAAGTTCCAAGGGGTGCCCCACAGTACCATGGGATATTTTAAATTTACAAAATAAACACATGGCGATTGCCCTCAAGGAGCTAACAGCCTAGTTTTGGAGACAGACAGATGTGTCGAGGAAATTATAATACAATGTGATCAGGACAACAGTAGCTGTAGATACATGATCCAGAAATAGGCAAGAAAGGATTAACATTTGGCAATGTGTTGAGTCACAGGGGGAGAAAAGACTAAGTAGGTAAGCACAGCTTCAGAAAGGAAGTGAGAGCAGCAATGAAAACATATTGAATTCTCTTTACCATTTTACCTTTGAGTTGATTCTGATGATACTGCTATAAATGCAGTGCTGGCATACATTAAATGGGACTTCCAGGTATTAACTGTGTTTTATAAATACTTGTCCAATATTGCAACTATTAACAGTAGAAATATTTTCAGGGAAGATGTGACATTCCATTTAAAAAATGGGAACATGCTGCCTGTATGTAGGAATGAATGAGTGCTGTGTTGGAAGTCCTACATCAAGGCTGCGGTGAGCCACTGCAGCAGACTGAGCTCCACAGACACAGCGCAGGGGCAAGGAAGAGCCCGACGGGCACTGGGTGACTCTGTGCCTTGCTGAGAAAAAATAACTAAACACAGGCAAAGGAGATCCTGAGAAGCCGAGAGGCAAAACGTATCAGACACAGTCTTTGTGCAAACTTGTAGGGACAAGCAGCAGCAGCAGCAGCAGCAACCAGATGCTCTAGTCAACTTCTCAGAGTTTTCTAGGAAGTGGTCTGAGAGGTGGAAGACCATGTCTGCTAAAGAGAAAGGAAAGTCTGAAGACACGGCAAAGGTGGACAAGGCCCATTATGAAAGAGAAATGAAAACCCATCTCTCTCCTAAAGCAGAAACATAAAAGAAGTTCAAGGATCCCAATGCACCCCCAAGGCCTTCTTCGGCCTTTTTCTTTTTCTGTTCTGAGTATCCCCTTAAATCAAAGGAAAACATCGCAGCCTGCCCATTGGTGATGGTGCAGAGAAACTGGGAGAGATGTGGAATGACACTGCTGCAGGTGACAAGCAGCCTTGGGAAAAGGTGGCTGCAAAGCTGAAGGGAAAAAAAATTCCAAAAGGGTTTTTGTTGCTTCCCAGTTTAAGGGAAGGCTTGTTGCGGCAAAAAAGGGGTTTTTCAGGGTTGAAAAAGCGCGAGAAAGGAAGGTGGGTGAGGTGGAGGGGAAGGAGGAAGAAGATAGAGATGAAGATGATGAATAAGTTGGTTCTAATACAGTTTTTTTTTCTTTTTTTGAAAGGCTTTTACCCCCCTTTTCCCCACTTGCTTCTTTTCAAGGAAAAAAATTAAAATGCAAGGCTGTGTAAGATTTGTTTTTAAACTGTACAGTGTGTCTTTTCGTGTATAGTTATCACATTACCAAATGTGTCTTTAGCTAGCCTTGTCCTGGTGGTATTTTCAATAGCCACTAACTTTGCCCAGTACAGCATGGGGGCTATAAATTGACATGGACATTTAATGCAGGCTCTTGTTGGTGCACAGCACAGATTAAGTTACATACGGGGATGGTAGTTTTTTCATCTTCAGTTGTATCTGATGCAGCTTATATGAAATAATTGTTACTCTGTTAACTAAATACCACTCTGTAATTGCAAAAACAACAAAAAAAGTTACAGGTGTTTTGTTGACATTCTGAATGCTTCTAAATAAATACAATCTTTTTTTTATTAGGGGAAAAAAAAAAGAGTGTGGTGAATGAAAAGACAAAACTACCAACACTGGAGCCTGGAGAACCAACTCCATCATTTAGGACTCAGGATGGATGGGGGCAGGAAGAAAAAATAACAGTCCCCAGCTCCTCTGGCAGGTTTCTAACCCTGCTTCCCTCAGAGGCTAACCTAAGATAATCCAGGGCTCTGAAAATGAGACAGAATATCCGTTATTTAATCCTGCGATGTCTGGGCCAAAGGGAACCTCTGGGGAACGCCTGGCACTTGCTTTCACAATCATCTCTAGCTACATGGCAGGCCACGTGGGAACCATCAGCTGTCAGTAAGGTTTTCCATTTTTTTCAAGAATGGATGGGGGAGTTTCAAACAGGAAGGAAGATGGAAAGGGGAAGACCAGAAGAGGAAGAGAGAGATAGGGAAGCAGGAACTCTTTTTCCTCTGTTTCAAAGCCCTAAGAGAACTCAGTACATTCCAGACATGGGCCAAAAACTAAGCTCCATAAAAGTTCATTTATATCTGTCTCAGTTTTTTGGAAGGGTATTTGAGCTTTCCTTCATGACTAGTCACTGTAGAAGATTCACCACACAGACTTTTACTGAGAAGGCGGTGACAATCCTACTTCAAAGCTTAAAGTTTTTGTCTTATAAGCCAAAGTAAAGAGAGACTTTGCAAATCAATGAATTTAAGTCAGGGGGTTTCAACCATGGCACACTGAAGTAAAGGTTGCTAGAATTAAAGATAAAACTGAGAATGAAAATCAAATCCTACCAAGTCTCCTATTTCAACTGTTCACCAGAAGATTGGAAATAATACTATCTTTACGGGATGGCCACATTTCTACCACAGTTAAGTAGCCAGGTTCAATATAAGAACTACAAATGAATAAAATGACTAGAAATGAGGCCACGTGCAAATCAATTGATAAATTCCTACATTTAGATGACTCATAGTTTTAATGAGACAAAAAACACCTTCAATATTTTTGGGGATTTGTTATTATTTATACAAGATAATAGCATTCTATCTTAGTCTGTGTAACCATGTATTATGTAGTTGAAGTAGTAAACACTGACCTTTGATTATGAAATTCTTGGTCTGATGACATTTAATCAAAGATGTAAAAAGTTCCCGCAGATTAATTCCTTCCTAGTTTATCACTCAGCCTTTAAGTGTTGTGAAATTCACTGTGTTTTATAGGCAGCAAGATGTTGGGTTGTCTGACTTATAATCTTAGGTTTTGTTAATTACAGAAAAATCTACTATAATGAAGGTTTTTTTTTTTTTTTACTATATATTAAATCATATGCTCCAGAATATAATTCATAAAAGCTTATATGTTGCACAATGTGAATGTACTTAATACTACTGAACACTTATGGTTAAGGTGGTAAATTTTATGTTATGTGTATTTTATCACAATTTTTAAAAATCTTATTCAGACCTACTGATCAATACTCATGGAATAAAGGGAGTCCTTTGCATTTCAATATTGCATTATGATTTTACTTTAATAATACTATGTTGTTTGGGAGGTTTTGCAAGTTACCTGACTCTATAGTTACTAAATGGCTCAAAACACATTGAGCTACGGCAAAAAAAAAAAAAAAAAAAAAAAAAAAATCCCAAGGATGCCAGGGCTCCCCACAAAACAAATATGAAACCAAGTTCTGGGTCTAATACAGTTTTTTTTCCTTGTCTGAAAAGCATTTAACCCCCCTGTACACAACTCACTCCTCTCAAAGAAAAAAATTAAAATGCAAGGCTGTGTAAGATTGTTTTAAACTGTACAGTGTGTCTTTTCGTGTATAGTTATCACATTACCAAATGTGTCTTTAGCTAGCCTTGTCCTGGTGGTATTTTCAATAGCCACAAACTTTGCCCAGTACAGCATGGGGGCTATAAATTGACATGGACATTTAATGCAGGCTCTTGTTGGTGCACAGCACAGATTAGTTACATACAGGGATGGTAGTTTTTTCATCTTCAGTTGTATCTGATGCAGCTTATATGAAATAATTGTTACTCTGTTAACTAAATACCACTCTGTAATTGCAAAAACAACAAAAAAGTTACAGGTGTTTTGTTGACATTCTGAATGCTTCTAAATAAATACAATCTTTTTTTTATTAGGGGGAAAAAAAAAGAGTGTGGTGAATGAAAAGACAAACTACCAACACTGGAGCCTGGAGAACCAACTCCATCATTTAGGACTCAGGATGGATGGGGGCAGGAAGAAAAAATAACAGTCCCAGCTCCTCTGGCAGGCTTCTAACCCTGCTTGCCTCAGAGGCTAACCTAAGATAATCCAGGGCTCTGAAAATGAGACAGAATATCCGTTTTTAATCCTGCGATGTCTGGGCCAAAGGGAACCTCTGGGGAACGCCTGGCACTTGCTTTCACAATCATCTCTAGCTACATGGCAGGCACGTGGGAACCATCAGCTGTCAGTAAGGTTTTCCATTTTTTTCAAGAATGGTGGGGAGTTTCAAACAGGAAGGAAGATGGAAAGGGAAGACCAGAAGAGGAAAGAGAGGATAGGGAAGCAGGAACTCTTTTTCCTCTGTTTCAAAGCCCTAAGAGAACTCAGTACATTCCAGACATGGGCCAAAAATAAGCTCCATAAAAGTTCATTTATATCTGTCTCAGTTTTTTGGAAGGGTATTTGAGCTTTCCTTCATGACTAGTCACTGTAGAAGATTCACCACACAGACTTTTACTGAGAAGGCGGTGACAATCCTACTTCAAAGCTTAAAGCTTTTGTCTTATAAGCCAAAGTAAAGAGAGACTTTGCAAATCAATGAATTTAAGTCAGGGGTTTCAACCATGGCACACTGAAGTAAAGGTTGCTAGAATTAAAGATAAAACTGAGAATGAAAATCAATCCTATTTCAACTGTTCACCAGAAGATTGGAAATAATACTATCTTTACGGGATGGCCACATTTCTGCCACAGTTAAGTAGCCAGGTTCAATATAAGAACTACAAATGAATAAAATGACTAGAAACGAGGCCACGTGCAAATCAATTGATAAATTCCTACATTTAGATGACTCATAGTTTTAATGAGACAAAAAATACCTTCAATATTTTTGGGATTTGTTATTATTTATACAAGATAATAGCATTCTATCTTAGTCTGTGTAACCATGTATTATGTAGTTGAAGTAGTAAACACTGACCTTTGATTATGAAATCTTGGTCTGATGACATTTAATCAAAGATGTAAAAAGTTCCCGCAGATTAATTCCTTCCTAGTTTATCACTCAGCCTTTAAGGTGTTGTGAAATTCACTGTGTTTTATAGGCAGCAAGATGTTGGTTGTCTGACTATAATCTTAGGTTTTGTTAATTACAGAAAAATCTACTATAATGAAGGTTTTTTTTTTACTATATATTAAATCATATGCTCCAGAATATAATTCATAAAAGCTTATATGTTGCACAATGTGAATGTACTTAATACTACTGAATACTTATGGTTAAGGTGGTAAATTTTATGTTATGTGTAATTTATCACAATTTTAAAAATCTTATTCAGACCTCTGATCAATACTCATGGAATAAAGGAGTCCTTTGCATTTCAATATTGCATATGTTTTACTTAATAATACTATGTTGTTGGAGTTTTGCAAGTTACCTACTCTATAGTTACTAAATGGCTCAAACACATTGAGCTACGGCAAAAAAAAAAAAAAAATCCCAATCCTCTCAAATCTCCCACAAAACAAATATGAAACCAAGTTCTGGCCAGGCACACACTGATGACAAATTCAGACCCATGTGACACTGATGAAGAATTTTCAAAGTAATCAAGCATTCAACAATTTTAACTTATTAAAAAATGTTTACTTTCCTATTAATTTATAATTATGTAATATGTTTAAGAATTAAGATTTGAAATAGCTGGGAGGATAAAGGAAAGGATAATTTCTGACAGTTAATTATTAAGTGAAATTACACTTTGGAACTGCATTTTAAAATGAGTTAAAATGAGAAATGGGACAGATTCAAAACTATTAATACCTGCTACTCGGCATCTCTTTTTTGGCTCAGCTCTGTAAAAGGCTGTATACTTTCTGCCATTCTTCCAAAGCACATAAATATACTGGGTGAGAATTACAGCATCTGTGCAGAACGGATTCGTAGGGTGGGTAAGAGTTAAATAACTTTCTCAGGGGTAACGTGACACGCTCAGAGGCTTGGCCTGAGTCATGCACACTGAACACCCAGTGGGTCACATCCTTTCCCTGCAGAGGACCAGGGCATGTTTCCTGCCTGCTCAGCACAGCAGGGCAATACTTCCACCAGCAGAGCGAGCCTGTCATCTGCTGCTACCACATGGAATTGGGGTGGATCTGTGCTCTGTGATTTTACACATTTGATAACATTTGGGAAACAGGATTTAGATCACCAAAATGAAAGACCTCATCTCTGCAGCTGCTGGACTACTGCTTCTGGTGCTTTTTGTCAAGCGGTAAGTTCTTTCTCGTGGGTAGGATGGGGACGCTGGTTTGTGTTACAAATTAAGACTCAACTGAACCTAATTTTCTTTACATCTCACACCAACTGCAAACCCTAAAGGCATAGTTTAATTTTACTTATTAAAAGGCAGAACCATAGAAGTGAATATCTATAGTTGTTCACTCCATTCCAATCTTGTCAAAGACTGTGTTCGCCACTGACATTTAAAAATTGGTGGCATATTCAAGATTTAGATACCTACAATTAAGTCAAGAAGCAATTTTCTTTGTGAGACGTTTTATCTTTGTGATATGTTGTTTGTGCATATTGTGTATGTATATTTCATAATATTTCAGCTTATTGACACTTTCTATGGATGCCATAGAATGCACTGTAAACACTCTAGGGGTAAAGCAAAGGATGTAGGCAGGAAACTGGCAAATGAGACAGTTTTTTCGGTAGGAGATGGAACTAAGAGGTGATACTCTAGGAAGTTGTCCATCATCGTACATTTCATATTTTTGAATACCATCTTTGGGTTTTACGTGTGCTACAAACAGTCTATGGTCAATGGGGTTTTTTAAAACCTGAGTTACCCAAAATAACTGATTTCTTTCTGCAGACTTCTCAGTTTCCATATGGTAAAACTTTAATTCAAACGGGTGCAAGATGGGATTCTATTTAATAATTGCACTTCTTCATAGGCAACTATCAAGGCTGGTTTTGCAAAGGTTGGTCAGGTCATTTTACCTGTCTTGACAATGGATTCACAGTAATGGCATAGTATGCATATTGTAGGGTGGTATCAATAATGTTCCAGTTACATGGCCGAAGCAGTTCCTTTTGAATAAGAAAGCAGTTCTTTGCAATGTTTTTGGCGGATTCAGCGATTAGGGTTCAGAAAATTTGTTATGTTTGCATGCAGGCAAGCTTTCTGCTTCTTTGAGGTGTTTGAGACATCGGTTCAGTAACATATTGAATTTAATAGGAATTATATCTTAGTACTGACTTGATTTATTTTATTGTCTTCATTCACAGACAGATAGAGGAAGTGTTTATCCTTCTTCTTAAATCGGAAAAAGAGGTCACGTCCTACACATTCTTTTCACGCCTAATTCCGCGGTTTTTATTTAATTACTGTTTTCCCTTTCTGGAACCTCGTATAATTGCCCTTTGATCTGTACTTCACTGTATTCCTTTCTTTCTACTTCTAAGGCTAATATCCTGGTTCATAAATCTTACTTTTCTCCTATTCTTAGTCTAAAGAATGTTGTTCTCTGCTTTTACTGTTTTGTTTTGCCCTCCTCTTATTTTTTCAATCTGGTTTTGGTTAAAAAACCCTCTTTCAAACAGAAAGGTTTGTGAAGATTTCCTCTATAGTGTTGCATAAGTAAGGCCCCTTTATTCAAGGTTAAGGAAATATACATCATACTCCTAATCTGTATCAGAAGAGACACATTTTAATAATGAACCTCCTGGTCAAGAAACAGAACGGGATGGAACATGATTTCAATTGCGAGAGAAAGAGCAGATATTGCTTCTCAGTTGCGTGAATGCTAAAATTAGTACGCGTGTTCTCCATAAATTAGATTACTTTGATAATTTTTGTACTTTGTCTGTTCTTATCTGGTGAGGCAGGAAGTTAATGCATATCAATCTAGTAATCGATTATATGAATTTTTTAGATACTTCGAATATATGAATTCCTCCAGATGAGCATATACATTTTTATATCATAACTATTAGCAATATAAAGTGTGATGATGGTCGTTTTCCATTGCCGGTCACTCATGTACAACGTTAGCTTGATATGCTGCTGCTCTCAATGCAGTTACACCGTTTGTCAGTGTGAGTTCCTAAGCAGGAACATAGTGGTCATGCTGATTATTCAATTTCCAGTTTGATCTCAGGCTGTCCTTTAGCTGTATATACCTGTAAATTACCTTGCGGTACACAAAGCACATGTTACGGAGGTAGGGAGAGGTCAGTAAGCATAGTGAGGGAGCGGAGGGGAGATGTACCCATAAATTTATAAGACAAACAAACAATTCACGCACCTCGCGATTAAGGTGGAAAGACGCTGTTAAATGGTAAGTTGAATTACCATGGTCGACATGTCTACAAGAAGGTTATAGAGGCATGAGAAACACTGTAGTGTGGGACTACCAGTATTATCGTACTTATGAGGCATCTTTATCGGAGGGATCTATGAACAGGATAGTGCCTGCTCTTTCTGGAACGAGAATGAGTCTAATGCTGAGCAGCAGAACTGCAGAAGAGCAAGGTTTGGTGTCCGAGGTGTATCACGTCAAGGCGCATAGAGGTTGTGTGGATGAAGTGAACTATAACGTGGACTCCAAGAGAATTTAGATAAGAAGGCTCGCAACTTGGCGCATTGCTTTCTTATTATGTCTACAGGACTAGGGGAAAATACACTAGTGCAAGTCGTATATGTAGCAGGCTTTAGTCCCCTTCTCTGCATTCTATGCCTACCTGATGTATATATGACAGTCAGTCCTCCGTTTGAATATCTCGTCCTATCTCTGATCAATACTCATGGAATAAAGGGAGTCCTTTGCATTTCAATATTGCATTATGATTTTACTTTAATAATACTATGTTGTTTGGGAGGTTTTGCAAGTTACCTGACTCTATAGTTACTAAATGGCTCAAAACACATTGAGCTACGGCAAAAAAAAAAAAAAAAAAATCCCAATCCTCTCAAATCTCCCCACAAAACAAATATGAAACCAAGTTCTGGCCAGGCACACACTGATGACAAATTCAGACCCATGTGACACTGATGAAGAATTTTCAAAGTAATCAAGCATTCAAACAATTTTAACTTACTAAAAAATGTTTACTTTCCTAGTTAATTTATAATTATGTAATATGTTTAAGAATTAAGATTTGAAATAGCTGGGAGGATAAAGGAAAGGATAATTTCTGACAGCTTAATTATTAAGTAGAAATTACACTTTGGAACTGCATTTTAAAAATGAGTTAAAAATGAGAAATGGGACAGATTCAAAACTATTAATACCTGCTACTCGGCATCTCTTTTTTGGCTCAGCTCTGTAAAAGGCTGTATACGTTCTGCCATTCTTCAAAAGCACATAAATATACTGGGTGAGAATTACAGCATCTGTGCAGAACGGATTGGTAGGGGTGGGTAAGAGTTAAATAACTTTCTCAGGGGTAACGTGACACGCTCAGAGGCTTGGCCTGAGTCATGCACACTGAAACACCCAGTGGGTCACATCCTTTCCCTGCAGAGGACCAGGGCATGTTTCCTGCCTGCTCAGCACAGCAGGGCATACTTCTTCCACCAGCAGAGCGAGCCTTTCATCTGCTGCTACCACATGGAACTGGGGTGAATCTGTGCTCTGTGATTTTACACATTTGATAACATTTGGGAAACAGGATTTAGATCATCAAAATGAAAGACCTCATCTCTGCAGCTGCTGGACTACTGCTTCTGGTGCCTTCTTTTTGTCAAAGCGGTAAGTTCTTTCCTCGTGGGGTAGGATGGGGACGCTGGTTTGTGTTACAGATTAAGACTCAACTGAACCTAATTTTCTTTACATCTCACACAAACTGCAAACCCTAAAGGCATAGTTTAATTTTACTTATTAAAAGGCAGAACCATAGAAGTGAATATCTATAGTTTGTTCACTCCATTCCGATCTTGTCAAAGACTGTGTTCGCCACTGACATTTAAAAATTGGTGGCATATTCAAGATTTTAGATACCTACAATTAAGTCAAGAAGCAATTTTCTTTGTGAGACGTTTTTATGGTTTGTAAGAATTTCCTCTGATTTAGCAAAGATACCCCTTTTTCAAGGGATTAAGAAAACATCCTATGTTTATACCTCCTGGTCAGACACAAATGGGGGAAACGAGATTATTGCCGGAAAGAGCAAGTCATCTGCCTTCAGTAGCCAGTGATGCTAATAAGTCAGTGTTTCCGAAATTAGATACTTTTTTTTTTTACTTTCCGTGGTACCAGGGAGTTTCCTCATCCTCATGTATGATTTTTTATTTTTAGAAATAAGATCTCCCAAACACCACTATTCAATCTCGAATGTGTTTCCCATTTCACTTATCACAACGTTAGCCTGTAATAATCTGCTTGCTCCAAAATTAACCAGTTTGGGATAGGTCTGTGTCCACTGTCCTTTAGCTGTTAGGTCATACTCCAGTCAACACTGCTAGGAGGAGGAGAGGTCAGGTACAGCAGGGGGAGGGGGGAGAACCCAAAATTAAAGGAAAAATAACGCCCTGCAAAGGAACGCTGTGTAAATGGGTAGTTGGAATTCCTGGGGCATGTCACAGAGTTTTAAGAGAACCTGTGGGGGACCACGGTGGCACACGAGGGATCTATGAACAGGATGAGTGCCTGCTCTTTCTGGAAGAGAATGAGTCTAAATGCTGAGCAGCAGAACTGCAGAAGAGACAAGGTTTGTGGAGGTGGTTCCTTCAAGGCGCTAGAGGGGTTTGGTGGAAGTGAAAAGCGGGACTCCAAAGAGACTTAGTAAGAGGCAATGCATTTGCTTTCTTCCACAGGGGCTGGGGGAGAAATGTAAAGGTCGTTATGTAGCGGCTGTAGTCCCCTCTCTCTGCATTAGCCCCTCACCAATGTCTTTTCCCAGGTTGAAAAAACATTTCAGATATATTATGCCAAATGGAAATACTTGTATAAGGAATTCAAATACATCAAAAAATAAAATTTAACAATGAGTGCTATTCTTAAGCAAAACCAGTCTCTAAGGAACAAAAAGCTTATTTAAGCAGAACCAGATCTGAAATTCTCATGGAACATGTAATCAATTCAATGTTTCCACAAACACAGGCACTTTTTAGCATGTTTGCAGACACACTGTCTTGCTCAATCCCAGGAATTTTCTGAAAACTGACAAACACTTGATTTCAACAGCTCTTATCAGATCCTGAAGGGAAACAACTTGTATGTTCTGCAGCCACCACTCCCCAGAGCTTTGTTCCTGTCTTCAAAGGCATTTCTCTTTTGGGTCACGTCAGATGTTGAGAACTTTTCTAAGCTGCAAGAGTGGAAGGATTTGTGTGGCTGAACCCGTGTCACAGGACACACCTTTAAAGATCACATCTAAATATGAGCACAGAGGAATGTGGCCTCCCCCACTTTTCTTTTTTCTTTAATCTACCTTTCCTTTAACTGACACCTGATCAGCTTCACGCTGTTGTCAGGCTGCACCTCCCGTATCTTATACACTGAATTAGGCCTGTGCAATCCCGGGGTTACGAGGGAGGCTTGGATTTCACCTGTGAGCAAACTGCTAGGGATTAAAGCAGGAAGGGAAACTGGTTCTGAATGACAAAGAGGTTACTTCACACTAACCTCAGTATTCAACCCAGAGGAATTCAGAGGTCTTGGGACAAGACGGAACTGGCAGAGAATAGGCATTTTAAAGTGATAAGTATGAGGTTTACATTGGGCATAAAAGTCCATCTTTAAGGTAACATCAGAAATTTGAGAGAATATTTTCTATACATGTCAAAGATTAATTTATCAAAAAATTACATAATAGCAAACAAGTTTGGACATTAATGCTTACTTTGTTTTTGAAATTGCCCTTTCAGGAATTAGAGTTGTTAACATTCACATGCCAAGTAATGCCAAATATTTACAGCATCATAGCTGATGTGTTTCTGTCTTTTCAAAAATTCACTTCCAGTTTCTTAGGATATCATAAGCAATTTCGTCTTCTGATTTTTCTTCCTTTGTCTCTGTTACCCCTAAAGTCTGCCTTTGGATTCTTTCTTCTCACGTCTCTCCCTAGGCTACCGCAAACACTCCTACTAAATTAAACTATAGCCTCCATGCAGATGAGGATAACCCATACCTCTAAATTGGGGTCCTGGAATTTGGGGCTCCATATCTAGTCTTCCACCTAACTAGCTGCTGGACATTTGACACACTAGTATCCCACCGGCAACTCGTCTTCAGCAATACCAAAAACTGGGATTATAGCTTCTTCCCCAGCCTGCTTCCTTGTCTCTTGTCCCACCTCAGCTAATGGCACCCTCCCCCTGCAAGTCATCTTTGCCCCTGCCTCTCCCTCACCACCCCACAGCCAACCAGATGCCAAGTCCCCAGGAGTCTCCATCACAGGGTCTCACGTGTTCTCCTGCGCCTTTCCACAACATTGATCTAGTTCAGTGACTCACCATCTTTAGTTTGAGCGACTACATTCAGATCAGGCCCCCTTGCCTCTAAGTTCTCACCTTTTCAAGTTATTCTCTGTCACCAAAGTCATCTTAAACAGAATCAAAATTAATTTCTAATTACTCCTATAATATCATAAATTGAGTGGCTTAAAACAGTACAAATTTATTAGCTTGTATTTCTGGAGGTCAGAAATCCTAAAATCAAGGGTGTTGGCAGGGCTGTGTTCATTCTGGAGGCTCTCGAATAAACTCCTTTCTTGCTTTTTTCAGCTTCTAGAAGCTGCTTGCATTGCTTGGCTTATGGCCCTTCTTCCATCTTCAAACCTCTGACTTTGATCCTCTTGCCTCCCCTCTTATAAGGGCTCATGATTACATCGGGCCTCCCTGGACAATCCAGGATAATCTCATCTTTAAGATCCTTAACTCTATTTCATCTGCAAAGTGCCTTTTGCCATGTAAAGCAACCCAGTCACAGGTTCCAGGGATTAGCAGGTGGATTCTTTAGGGGACCATTAATCTGTCTACCATGATGGTCATTCCTTTGTTCAAAAGTGTGTATGCAACCCCAGCATCTGAGAATAAGCACATGATTTCGTAGGACAGTTTAGGAGCCCTTCAGGAACTTGGCTGCCACCTACTCTGTTTCAACTTCATCTCTCAGGTGCACCTTATCAGCATAACAATGCACTGTTATGCATCTTTTGCACTAGTTGAAGTTATTAACAGGAATGGAGTTCATTTAAAACTTTACACCACTGGCACATAAATATGCAATAAAAATTTGCTAAATCAACTTATCTGGCATTCCCAGATCCCATGACAGCCAACACTATGCTTGTACCCATTCATCACCAACAGAATCTTACTCATCTATTAAGTTCCATCTCTTTACTATCTTTGCTCAAGTTCACCTCGTCCTTGAAGTTCTGCTCAAACATCTGAATCAGTTAACTATTGTCTGAATGCCTATGCAGTTTAAAGTCAGCATAACATTTGCCTATAATGTTCTGATGGGCTATTTTTGTTTCCTCCAATAATATTATAAACTCCTTACGAGTAGCATTCATCTAGTTTTTGTTCCTGTGTGGGATACCATGGTGCTGGGGCATATGATATCTACTAAAATATACACTTTTGATTATCTGATCTATATTGATTTTTTAAAATAAAAATGATCCTAAATTCTATAACCACAGAAATTATGTAGCATAAGACACTTCATTTTCTCTTGAACCACAGACATGGCTTGGCAACAAATCACATATTAATACTTCCTTTCATTTACAGGCATGAAAGATGATGCAGATAACTGGGCAACACCAACCCTACCTATTAAGACCTTTCGTGGAGCTCCCCCAAATTCTTTCGAAGTGTTCCCCCATTCTGCCATAGAAGGCAGGACAGAAGACATCCTAACTGTGAAAATTAAGTGCCCCGAAGAAAGTGTTTCAAATCTCCTCGTGAATAATGCTACCATGGGGTACCTGAGCAGCTCCTTAAGTACCAAACTGATACCTGCCATCTATATCCTGGTGTTTGTAGTTGGTGTGCCAGCCAACGCCGTGACCCTATGGATGCTCTTCTTCAGGACCAGATCCGTCTGTACGGCTGTCTTCTACACCAACCTGGCCATTGCAGATCTTCTTCTGTGTGTCACGTTGCCCTTTAAGATAGCTTACCATCTCAATGGGAACAACTGGGTATTCGGAGAGGTCATGTGCCGGGCCACCACAGTCATCTTCTACGGGAACATGTACTGCTCCATTCTGCTCCTCACCTGCATCAGCATCAACCGCTACCTGGCCATCGTCCATCCTTTCACTTACCGGGGGCTGCCCAAGCGCACCTATGCCTTGCTGACATGCGGATTGGTGTGGGCAACGGTTTTCTTATACATGCTGCCATTTCTCATCCTGAAGCAGGAGTATTATCTTGTCCAGCCGGATATCACCACCTGCCATGATGTCCACAACACATGCGAGTCCTCGTCTCTCTTCCAACTATTCTACTTCATCTCCTTAGCATTCTTTGGATTCTTAATTCCATTTGTGGTTATTATCTACTGCTACACAGCCATCATCCGGACACTTAATGCATATGATCATAGGTGGTTGTGGTATGTCAAGGCAAGTCTCCTCATCCTTGCGATTTTTACTATTTGCTTTGCTCCAAGCAATATTATACTGATTATTCACCATGCGAACTACTACTACGACAGCACTGATGGCTTATACTTTATCTATCTCATAGCTTTGTGCCTAGGCAGCCTGAATAGTTGCTTAGATCCATTCCTTTATTTTCTAATGTCAAAAATCAGGGATCACTCCACTGCCTACCTTACAACAGTGAAATCGTCTTAGAGAACAAGGAAAGCTATCTGGGAAGACATACGTTCTTGGGGTGACATATGCATAGTGCAAGCTGTTCTATTCTCTAGCACCATTTTTGAGCTCCTAAGAAATAGTGCTTCAAAAATCAAACATTACACAAGCACTAGTCACTGTTTTTTTTAAAATACTTTATCAGTATTTTAAGAATGTTAATGAGAAGAAAAGATAGCATTACTCTTTATGGCAAGGGACACATTTCCATTTGCCTTCCTGCTACTTTGGTTCTCTAAACCTCTGCCTTCCTGATTCTCAGAGGCACTGCCATCCTTAAATTTTGGCATTATATTTGATCCTTCTGTCTCCTCCGACTTTCACGCTGGTGGCTGCCTCACCAGCTGACTCTATCTTCGTAGCGTCCTTCATTAGGGTGGCGTCCTTCATTAGAGTAGTGTCGTTCATTAGGGTCACTTATCCCAGTCCCATCATTGCCGCCTCTTCATTCTCTTCACTGCCAGCCTACCCTCCATTTCACAGGTCCTGCCAGATTCATGCTCCTCAAATACCAGCTTGAATACATCACTCAAAAACCTCCACCGACTCCCCACTGCTTCTGCAACGAATTATAAACCTTAAGCCTGGCATTCAGGGCTAACTGTCTAACCTGACTGCCTGTAACATAGGCACCAGTCACACTTCTTGCTCTGTTGTGATACTGACTTTTACTCTCTCCCTACTTCTTCCTCTGACCGAAAAGCTAGTTCTTAACATCTTTGCCTTAATTCTGTCCATCTCAAAGTCTGCTAAGGACCATTCTTCCCTGGTTCTCAGGCTAGCAGTGTCACTTTTCTCATTTGAACTTCCAAAGTGCTTTCTTATATTTTTTTTATTATGGCAGCTATATAGAATTCATTGATATACAAATATTAATTCCATGAACAATTAAGCATTACATATAACGGAGAAGGTGCTTGTCCTCACTCTCCTTTGAGCTTCTTGCTGGCTCCAGGCTCTGTGGGTCCCAGCTCCAGGCTTTGCATATCACGTGGCTGAATGAATTTTAAAAATCCCAAAGCATCTAAACACCATGAAAGCCCATGACATTCATACTGAAAAGGCAACATACTTTGTATGATATGGGACATCATCATTCCTGGTTAAGCAAATAAAAAAAAAAAAAGAGGAAGCTAAACTAAGAATATACTCATAAGGTCATCTAGAAGTTTAAAATAATGCCTCCACTATTTTTCTTCCTTAGACATCACTTTTAATGGGGAAATCGTATGTTATTATAAATGCCCAATAGTATATTCCTGTAGGTAACTGACTATGTTCCCTTAACTTAGGGATTAGATAGCAGGGGACAGTAGTAGTTAAGGGTGGGTGGTGGTAGTGAATATAAGTGAGGTTGAGGAAACCTTTAAGCATAAAGGATTGCTGAGATGAATTTACAAGTCTGTAGGAATGTGCATTGGCTATATACTTTGTAATGACCATCAAAATAATAAAAAACGAGTTTAAATGCATTTTTTAATGTGCAGTTTCCTATTTCATTGAACTTAGGTTAAAAAAAAAAACTTGCACATGAAGACCCTTTATAGTATGTGTGTGGCTATGTGAAGATTGACAATCAGATAAACACTAAAGTAAGCAAGAAAAACAAATCTGAAATAAGTTTCAAGATGACAAAAACTTCACCAGAAGGAAATGATTTCTGAAAATGAAGTCATCCATTACAATACAGTTTTACTTAGGGAAAAAATAAAGCAATATTCACTTGTTAAAAGCACATAATTTTATGGAGTAAATATGCAAGGAACAAAACAGAACTTTTATTAAAAAGACAAAAAAGATGCCGGCATGGATGAAGTGAAAAGGGAATGCTTATACACTGTTGCTGGGAATGTAAATCAGTACAACCTCTACAGAAAACGATATGGAGATTTCTCAAAGAACTAAAAGTAGATGTACCATTCAATCCAGCAATTCCACTACTGGGAATTTACCTAAAGGAAAAGAAGTCAGTCATTTTGTTTAAAAAAAAAAAAGATATCTGCGCCCATATGTTTATTGAGCACAAATTATAATTGCAAAGATATGGAACCAACCTAACTGCTCAGCAATCAATGAGTAGATAAAGACAACGTGATGTGTACACACACACACACACACACACACACACACACAACCACACAACCATGGAATACTATTCAGCCATCAGAAAGAAAGAAGCAATGTCTCTTGCAGCAACTTGGACAGAAGCGAAGGCCATTATTCCAAGTGAAGTAACCCAGGAACAAAAAAACCGTATACCGTATGTTCTCACTTAAAAGTGGGAGCTAAGCTATGGGTATGCATGGTCATACAGAGTGACTTAATGGACACTGGAGACTCACAAGGGAAAAGGTGGGCAGGGGTGTGGGATGAAAAATTACTTGTTGGGTGAAATGCACACTATTCAGGTGACAGGTATATTAAAAGCCTAGACTTCACTAGACAATTCCATCATGTAACAAAAAAACATTTGTACCCCCTAAGCTATTTTTAAAAACTGAATTTAAAAAATAAATATATTTTCCTTCCAAAAAAAAAAAAACCCAGAACTTTTTTTGGGTGGGGTGTAATTCATATGTTCTCAAGCAAAGCCTTTAATTATAAAATAGCTCACAATTTACTGCCTCCAGTGAATAGACACAGAAAACATGTTATACTCTGCTAAACGTGTGCCAATGTGCCCTGTCTCTTCCCAAGAGGCAAAAGGAATTTGGTGCGTATGTAAGGTTGTACCTGAAATACTGTTAGAAGACCAAGAATTCTCAGGAATTTACCACTGTCCCCAGTCTTTGATAAGACTGAGCATCCATTCTATGAAGATGTTACCTGTTGTGACTTTTAATGGCTGTATATTTTGGCACAAGCTTTACTTTATACTGATAACACCAGCAACATAAATTTCTCCTATTATTTTCCAAGGCCAGACCTTGGGAAAGCAAGACACAGAAATGCCACCATAAAAACATAATGGGAAATTTCCAGGACTCAAAGTAGCAGAGGTTAAAAGACAAACATGAAGGCCCTGTCGAACAAACAACAGATTCAGATTTTTTAAGGAAGAAAGACCAGGCTGAGAGAAGAAAGTTTCGAAATTAATGCACTAAGAAAGAAAACTGTCCTTAAAAATAGCAATTTAACCAGATATGATTTATTGCTTGGAAGTGTAGTGTTTTAAATTTGCTAGCAATTGCCAACGTGTTTCAAGCCCCTAATTTTATAGGCCAAAAGTGATTTAATGCCTGAGCTAGAACCCAGCTCTCTAGGTTCTGGATTCTAATTTTTAATGCTCTCATCACACCATGAACGCTACTCCTTCCATACACAGGAGGGATGCCAACACAGGGCTGGCAGAATGTGTGCCCTGGAGGAGTCCTATGGAGTTCCGTCCCATCCTGGAGCCATTTGATTGGAATGCTCCAGAATGGACCTCTACTGCCTGCCTATGAAAGACCCTGGGTGTTTGGAGTCAGCCTCACCTCAAAGACAAACCCCATCTGGCTGTGGACAGAGAGGAAACCCAGGTCTGTCTCTATCCTGCTTCCAGAAGAAACCAACTTTGGTGTGGATGGAGCAGACCCTGTGCCTAGTAAGGACTTTGTGACGCAGACATCACTCACCCCTTGAGAGGCAGTCACAGGGCCCACAATAATACTAGCCACATTATTTAAACACGTTTTTTGAGTGCCAGGCTCCATGCTAAACACTATCGCTACACACACACACACATATTACAATACACTTATGTATTATATATTCTCATTTAACCCTCACCATAATCCTGTAAGACAAGTATTCTTATTCCCATTTTACACATGTGAAAATAAGCATATAGAGGTTTGGTGACCTGACCAAGGTCCCATAGCCAGTTTGTGGCACATGCAGGATCTGAAGAGTGCCTGTCTGTCTCCAAAGCAAGTAACTTTCTCTTCCAGTGCTGCTAAGTCTGCCACTTGCCACAGCCACCTCAGTGAGAACAGCAAGGAGGTGGCGGCGACCTTCCTCCCCTGGGCCGTGGGGACACATGGCCTGGGTTGAGTCCTCATTCTCCCACTCACTGGCAGTACCTTGGCCCCGCTTTCAGCCTGAGCCCCGGGCTCAGTCACATCAGTGGAAACAGCTCCCACCCCAATCGCTATGAGGCTTAAATGAGGAAGACTGACGGGAGGTGGGGGCCCTCGCAAAGCACAGAGGGCAAGGCAAGGCCACCGCTGTCCCGGCCAAAGGCAGCAGCACAGAGGGCTCCCCTGTGGGGTTATTTCCCTCTAGCTTCAACGAGGCAGTCTGGCAGCAGGGAGTGAACAGGATTTATACTCTTTTTCTTCTTCTTCTGTTTTTTTTTTTTTTGAGACAGAGTCTCACTCTGTTGCCCAGGCAAGAGTGCCGTGGCATCAGCCTAGCTCACAGCAACCTCAAACTCTTGGGCCCAAGCGATCCTCCTACCTCAGCCTCCAGAGTAGCTGGGACTACAGGCATGCGCCACCATGTCCGGCTAATTTTTTCTATATATATTTTTAGTTGTCCATATAATTTCTATTTTTTTAGTAGAGATGGGGTCTCGCTCTTGCTCAGACTGGTCTCAAACTCCTGAGCTCAAACGATCCTCCCGCCTCAGCCTCCCCAGAGTGCTAGGATTACAAGCATGAGCCACCGTGCCCGGCCTATTCTGGTTTTTAGAAGTTTAGGAACACTATGTAATACGTGCATTCTTTTAAAAATTTAAAAATTCAAGCAGTAAAAAAAAAAAAAAAACAATGAAAAAGAAATCTCCTTTTCAGCAGCCTTCTAGTTCACCTTTCAGAAGGTACGCTCCCATCCAGAAATACCTTATGCATACACAAGTGTGTGCATGCCCCCTCAACACAAATGCGGGTACGTATTCCATTTTTATGCTCGTGAAAGTATAAGCATGCTTTTTTTGCTTAACATCACTTAGGTTGTTTTGGTCTTTTGTTATTGCAAACAAAGCTGTAAGAAACATGTTTTCCCATCTGTCTTCATGTACAATGTCTCTAAATCACACAGACCTGGGCTGTAGTCCCAGAACTAATTACCTTTTTAATGGTTTTGGGCAAATTACTTAATCTTGGTTTAATTACCTTCAGAAAGATGATAATAATGATGGTAAAATGATTCAGAGGGCTATTATGAATTACTATGAGGATTAGATGAGATAATAAGTATAAAATACCTAATATCATGCCTGGCAAACAGTAAGCTCTCAATAAATATTTGCTTTATTTAAGGTTCTCAAGGATGTTTTTGTGTTTCAGATGAGGCATTTCCTAGTTCTTAAGATGTAGACAGAGGAGATGCCCACCTCTTTCAGGTGGGCTTGCACTTCGGGACATGGCAGTCACAAGTGGCTAGTCCCAGATGGCATCACTCCCACTCTCGGTGACAAGACATAATAAGGCTCAGTACTAGTAGTACCTTTCTCAGAGTGGCAAGTCTTGGTGGGATACCTCATAATGGCAGCACAAGCTCTGTACTCAGATAAAGCACGCTGTTCTTCAAGAGGACTCTGGCCAAGCCAGTCCACTCCCATGCCCCGATCAAACCATGCTGGCGGTGTCCACCTAGCACTGCATTACCTGCCCACACCATGCTGCTCTCCACCCACCTAACCAACTCTGCTTACCTTCCAGACACAGCTCCTGCGCTGCCTCCATGCCAACTTCTCTTAGGATTCTAGTCCCCGACAATCCCAGCCATCTCGGCATCTCTATGTGTACCCCTTGTTTGGACACTCTGCTGTATACTTATCTCTCCTATTATTTCACCGTTCTGTATGAGATGCCCACTGCTTCAGTATATTTCTAAGCATTTTGAAGGTTAGAGAACCTTCAAATGGCATCACCCTTCTGTGTCCCCTCCTTCCCTACCAGAAACTATGTTTCACACTGTGCGTGCAGTATATACTCAGAAAATATCCAATGAATTGCACTCTAAACAAGAACTCACCCACAACCGAGTTTTTAGTGAAAGAACAGAAGCAATAATCAGCTTTGCAGCCGGCTTCCCCTGATGTTTGGCACAAGGAACACCCCATCACTTCCATTCTGATTCATGGGCAATCATTGGGATAAGAAGCTCACATGATTTAATGAGGAGGTAAAAAAAAAAAATCCTCCCTCCTACCCTCTCTCGCAATCTGTAAATTTAAAAGAAACAAACATACTAAAACTTACCCTGAATTTCTGTGATTTAGCATGGTGTAAAACATCCTGGTAGTGCTGGGCATAGTCTGGGTCCACATCTTTGATATTAGAAGTAGGTAGCAGCAAGGATTCTAAAGTCTTGAAAGGATTCCCTTCATCAATAGCTTCATTAATGTACCCTACAGCTACAATTCCTAGAAAATGAAGAAAGTTTTCCTTTTAAGTCTTAGTACTTTATAAGTTCTCTGGTATCATCTATTGCAGAGCTAATAAACGAATACAGCAGTCTACAGGATACATCAATATACAAAAACCCATTATGTTTCCATATACTTATAATGGGTTATCTGAAAATGAAATTTTAAAAATTCAATTCATAACGAGTCTAATTACAAATACATTTAGGAATAATTGAACAAAAGAAACAGAACAAACACATAGAGATGTCCCTTGGTACATGCAGTGGATTGGTTCTAGGACCCCATGACATATACCAAAACCCACACAAACTGAAGTCCTGCAGCCAAGCCCGTAGAACCCATTTGTATGTACAGCCAGCTCTCCATATAAGTGGGATTTGCATCTGGTGAATACTGCAGTTTTGATCCATGGTTTGGTTGAAAAAAATCCATGTGTAAGTGGACCCATGCAATTCAAAACCAAGTTTTTCAAGGGTCAACTATACACTGAAAATTATAAACCATCACTGAAAAAGGTTAAAGACAACTTAAATCAATGGAAAGACATGCCACATTCATGGATTGGAAGATTTAATATTGTTAAGATGGAAATACTCCTTAAATTGATGTACAGATTCAATGCAACCCCCATTAAAATCTTAGCTATCTTTTTTAAAAAGAGAAATTAACAAACTGATTCTAAACTTCATATGGAAATGCAAGAAGCCAAAAACAACCTATGCAATCCTGAAAAAAGAAGAACAAAGTTGATGGGCTTTTCCCAATTTCAAAACTTACTAAAAAGCTACAGCGATGAATACTACATGGTCACTGGCATAAGGATAAACATATAAATCAATGGAATAGAACCGAGAGTCTAGAAATAAGCCCTTACATTTTTGGTCAATTGATTTTTGACAAGGGTGCCAAGACAATTCAATGGGTAAAGAACAGTCTCTATAAGAAATGGTGCTAGGATAACTGGACATCCACATGTATCATATGCATAAGAATGAAGTTGGATCCCTACATCACACTATATGTAAAACTTAACTCCAAATAGATCACAGACCTAATTGTAAAAGCTGAAACCATAAATCTTTCAGAGGAAAGCGTAGGAGTAAATCTTTGTGAATTTGGGTTAGACAATTTCTTTTTAGCTATGATGCCAAAAGAACAAATAACAAAAGAAAACAGATAAATGAGGCTTTGTCAAAATTAAACCTTTTTTGCTTCAAAGGACACTATTCAAATAAAGTGAAAAAACCTATGGAATAAGAGAAAATATCTGCAAGTCCTATATCTAATAAAAAGACTTAAGTAAATAAAGAACTTGGTTAGAACTCAATAAGGAAAAGACAAATAGCCCAATCTAAAATTAGCAAAAGACTTGAGTAAACATTTCTTTAAAGAAGATAGACAAACGGCTAATAAGCACCTGAAAAGATGCTCAACATCATTAGTCCCTAGAAAAATGCAAATGCAAATCCAAATCACAATATGATACCACTTTGCACCCACTAGGATGGCAATAATAAAAAAGATGATAATGTTATAAAAAAGACAAACAACAAGTGTTGGTGAGAATGTAGAGAAATTAGAACGTTTATACATTGCTGGCAGCAATGAAAATGGGGTAGTCACCTTGGAAAATAGTTTGGCAGTTCCTTAAAATATTAAACACAGAATTATGTTTAATAATTTAAACATAAATTATGTTGATCCAGCAATTCTACTCACGTTCGACTAAAGGATAAACAAAATATAAATCCATAGGATGGAATATTTTTGACCTAGAAAGGAATATGAAGTATACTGATACATAATACAACATGGATGAACCTTAAAAACATCTTAAGGGAAAAAAAACAGACACAAGAGTTCACATATTATAAAACTCCATTTATACGAAATGTCCAGAATGGGCAAATCCATATAAACAAAATAGTTGAATAGTTGCCAGAGCATGGAAAGAGAGAGGAAAGGGAGTGCCTGCTAATAGGTATAGGATTTCTTTTTGTTCTTAATTTTTTAAAGTTTATTTTTATTTTTTTCTTTTAGAGACAAGGTCTCACTCTATTGCCTGGGCTAGAGTGCAGCTTATCGAAGCCTCGAACTCCTGGGCTCATGCGATGATCCTCCTGTCTCAGCCCCTTGAGTAGCTGGGCCTAAAGGCGCACACAAGCACACTCAGCTGATTTTAAAAATTTTTTGTTGAGTTGGGGGTCTCAGTATGTTGTCCAGGCTAGTCTCCAACTCCTGGCCTCAACTGATCCTCTCACCTTGGCCTCTCACAGTGTTGAGATTATAGGTGTGAGTCACTGTGTCCCTCCCAGGGTTTCTTTTTGGAGTGATGAAAATGTTCCAAATTTAGACAGTGATTATGGTTGCATAACTTTTTGTATATATACAACCACTGAACTGTATACTTTAAAAGAGTGAAATTTATGGTATGTGAATTATATCTCATAGCTGTTATAAAAAGGGGGAGGTATAACTTTGCGTAGAAGCAGCAGCAGGGTTGCTAAATTTCTAGTGTAACCCTAGCTTAGATGTTAGGTAGTAATGCTAAAATATTATAAGGTGAAAACACAGAATACCACAACTGGAAAAATTTAATGTAGAGATACACAGAAAAGAAAACTCAAGTAGAGAAGTTTGGATATACATTCTATTCTTTGGATAACTACTTTACCACTCTGTAAGGATGCCAAAACAGATATTAATAGTTCCCTATACAGTGTTAAAGAAGAGTAAATGTCCAGGTCCACGTAGTCCAGTGCTGTCCAACAGAACAATGATGATGGAAATGTGCTGTCCAACATGGTAGCCATTCGCCACATGTAGCCAGGGAATACTTAAACTGTGGCTAGTATCTGTGAAGAACTGAATTTTAAATTTTATTTAATTAATTTAAGTGGCCATTTGTGGCTAGGAAGTATGGGTAGGCTTCATAGAAATAAACACAGTCATGCTATTCTCGGATACCTTTAAGCTGCAGTCCCCAATGCCTGGGCCGTGGACCAGTACCAGTCCTCGGTGTGTTAGGAACTGGGCCACAGAGCCACAGCAGGAGGTGAGTGGCTGACGAGCTAGCAAAGCTTCATCTGTATTTACAGCAGCTCCCTATTGCTCCCACCACTGCCTGTGCTCTGCCTCTAATCAGTGGTGGCATTAGATTCTCATAGGAGCACAAATCCTGCTGTAAACAGCACATGCAGGGGATCCAGGTTGTGCGCTCTTTATGAGAATCTCATACCTGATGATCTGAGGTGGAGCTGAGGCGGTGATGCTACTGCTGGGGAGCAGCTGCAAATACACATTACCATTAGCAGAGACGTTTGACTGCACCAGGAACTAGTTTCATAAATGTAACACACTTGAATCCTCCCCAAACCATCCCGCCCCATTCCTCGGTCCATGGAAAAATTGTCTTCCATGAAACTAGTTCCTGGTTGGGGACCACCGCTTTTAAGTTTCAAATATGGATAATTAATTTTACATATTATTTATATACTATTAAGTGGTAAAATAATATCTGAAGTTCTAATTCATGGATGTACAAAAGGACAAATAAGCATATCCTCTAGTTTAATTTTCAACCACCTCTATCCCACCGAAGGATCTCAGAATATAGATTATAAGATCCAGAAATGAAAAATACAGAAGTCAAGCTATGGAATCTAAAAATTTTTGCAATTCTAGTAAAACAGATCTATTTGGAGGCCACTTTCTCAATATCACATTTTAAAAAACTTACCACCCAGTCATAACAATATAGCATGTAGATACTATGTATACACACATACACATTTAGATACTACACACACACACATATACACACACCTACCAGGGAGCTTTTGCTTCCTAGGTAAGTGCTGATGGACAAAAACTGGTAAAGAAACTAAACATTAATATAGAATAATATTAAACATTAATATAGAATTTGACCCTAGAATATAAACATGTTTAAGACCAAACTCATTATTTCTCATTTTGTCAGTTATTTTTTTCATCAAGGAAGATCACAATTCACTTTACAAATGATATATACCATGATATAGAACAAACACTTCTAGTTTTTAGCAAGTATCTCCACCCTGACATTCATATTAAGGTAAAATATTTAGCTAAATATTGCCTGAGTAGATGACCCCATAACCACTACTTGCTAAGATTTACCAGTAAGAATAAAGAAACAATCAAAAACTCCTAGAAACTGTTCCAGATTATAATACTTAAATAGGTTTGAAAAGAAAAGCAAAAGTATTTCTCTAACATGAAAGGTACGTTATCTCAAAATACTGGGAGAACTCTTGAAAGTCTAAGCACTATCTGTATAACAAGGTATTATCATTTCACCCTGTAGGATATGAAAACTGGAGGACATGGGATATTTCATGTCATCCTCTGGACACCCCCTGGGGTAGGCTGTTTTAAATACCTTTAAACACCCCATCCAAAAATGGTCCTAACAGAACCAAGTCTGAGAAAGAGAATGTGTGTTCGTAATGGCCGATCACCTGGCAATGAGTGCATTCCAGCTGACTTGATTGAAATCACCTGCTTAAGTTTTTGTTTGGTGTGTTTCTAAGAACACAAGCTGCTGAGGTCACAGTAAATGACCTCATAGGAGCTGAAAGACCTACCCAGAAGCCCCCTGGGCACCTTCACATCACTTCCTCTGTTTATTAAGTAAAGGAAAAATCCCATCTGAAGAAAGATTGCTGAGCCTCAGCCCATGTTCCCACTTCTTTAAGTCAATGTGTGATACTGTAACATTCTAGTCCATCGAGAGAGTGGGCATGCTCTTAAGAGTTCATGTATTTGAGACAGCAGATGAGATGACCTTAAAAAGAAGGTACTTACCAAATTTAGCAAAAACTCAAAGGAAGAAAACTTCTTTACCTAGGCTACACAGTTAAAATAATGCTCCCCTATGGCTCTATTGGAAAAAGTAAACTCTTCAGTAAGAATTCAAAGCATCCAAGTCTGAGGAAATGCATTTAGCAGATTTTGTATGAAATTTACCTTCCGCATTTACCATTTTCCGCTAGCTGCAGATGTTACCCACGTCACAGCTCAGACACAGGATGAGACCTTGGAGCTCGTAGTAGAACGGGGTGTGTGTGTGTGGGGGGGAGGTAAGAGTAACGCACTTTTCAAAATCTCCATGGAAAATTCTCAGCTCTTATGATTTAATTACTATATTGTACAATTCTTGCCTGTTCACAACAGTGCATTTTTAAAATTTTTACCTTTTAAGCAATTCCCTAAACATGGTATTGAACCGACTACTTCAGGAGCTTTAAACAAAAATACCTCATTTTGACAAAAGAAAAAAAAATCCAAAAAACCAGATAAATACTCCTTATTATATTTCCTAAATTCCAGAAAGGAAATATTAGCATCTGAAATAACTGCTCTGCTTATGGCACATGCCATTCATGACAAGATGCCTAAAAGAAATGTTACAGTGGCCCTGTGAGATGTCCCAGAGAGAAAAACTTGGCTGTGCTCTTGCCTTGACAGAATAAAGCCACAGGCACCAAATAAGATTTCTGCTTAAAAACAAGCTCTACCTACAATAGACTATTCTCTTTAAGTTACACAACGTTACTTGTTTTTCTTTTCCTAGTAAGGCAAAGACTTTGAACAAAAATGGCATCCCTCCCCCCCTTTTAATCAACATCAAGTCTACAACCGCTTGGCACTGAGAACTAACACGCTTTCGCTTGTGTGAGCAGCACATACAGAAATAATCAAAGCAGACTGGACTGTGGGCTATAAAGATGAATTAACACCATTTGCAACAATCTGGATGGAAATGGGCACCATTCTCCTAAGTGAAGTGTCTCAAGAACGGAAAAACAAATACCACGTGTACTCACTATTACACTGGAACTAACCAAGGAGCACACACCTACATAGAGGAAAGTAAAACTCAGTGGAAATCAACCAGGGGGGAGGGGGCAGGAGGGGAGGGACAAAAACCTACCTAATGAGTACTATGAACACTATTTGGGTGATGGGGCACAACTTTAGCTGAGACTCAAGCATTACAAAAGTGATCCACGTAACCTAAAACATTTGTACCCCTTTAATATTTTGGAAAAAGAAAGGATTGGGAAAAAAGTTAGAAATCAAAGACAGGACACAATTGTTTTGCCTACCAAAAGAAAGAAGTCCTTCCCTTTGGGTGACATTTGCCATAATACCAAAATCACTGCTGCAGGAGACTCAGAGCGTGGAGGGGAAGGCCAAGGGGGAAGGCAGGATGTTGGGGGACTGGGGCACTGAGCTCTGGGAGCAGGACACATGCAGCAGTGGCACTCTCCACCCCCACCCTGATGATATTGAACATCTGTTCAAACTAGTGTTTCCCTCTGGACTAATATCTGGCAAGAACCACAAGTGCTTAAGCCAACGTGTTAGAAAAGATCTAGCTGGGTTGTGAGCAAGCCATCTGATTGCAGCAATTTCAAATGCCTCTCTGAAAGGAAATGCAGAGAGGCAACAGAAAGCTGTGTGGTCCTAAAAGAGAAAATTTAGATTTGTGTACAACTTGAGAAGGACAAAATTAAGAAAGTGTCCAGGCACCAGTATAACAGCGGTACCTCCATGGTACATTATGTCAGGGTAGCACACCTGGATCCTGTTTTATAGTAGGGGCTTAAAGTGAGATGGTTATAAAGAAAAAACAAATGCAGCCTTGATTTTTGGCCCAATGCTTACAGGAAATAGCAAAGAAAAAGAAAACTGTGCAAATAAAATTAACTAATGAGTCATATGTTTTATCTGAGGAGTGATTGTAGTATTTCAAATTTAGATATAGCATTGAAAGGCCAGACCTAAGATCTTACTGAAACACACTAAAACAAAACATTATAAATTTGTGACGTAAGTATCTGCCTACTCTGTTAACAAGCTTAGAGCAAGTGGGTTGGAAAGGCAAAGCTGGGGTGTGGAGGGGAAGCCAATGATTTTAGCAATCCTAATCCACTGCTGCTGACAAGTCCCAGAGCTCAGAAGCCAAAGAAGATGGGATAGGTTTGTTTTTATGATGGAAAAGACAGCTTGCAGCTTGAATTTGGTAATTCATGATACCGAAAAGCAGTGAATATATAGACTGCTGAAGTTACATAGTTTCTCATTCTTCACTCTGTTTTTATAAGCACAAAACCAATGATAAGGAGGCAAGCTGGCATTCAAGAAAGCGTGTTTCTAGGCATTTCTTCTTGAAGTTGGACTGCTTTTATGATGATAGCTCATAATTTCTAGAAATACAGCCAAGTGCCATATTTGTGATCATAAAGCAACAGATGTGTTCCAATTTCTTCATTCCCAGGGCAGGGAAGTGTATCATATTTCATTAAAAAATGCCCAAATGAAAGGTCAAAATAGAATTGAGTACTCAAAAAGCTGACTTATTTAGAGTAGCTGTCTCTAGGTACAAATAATAAGAAAATATTAGGACTTCTATTTATGTATTTGTATTCTATCCTTTCATATATTTTTGTATGTGCTTTGAAATGTTTATAATATGTTGGTACAGTAGCATGGGCATAGACTTTACATGTAACTGTCTACAGCCATATCCTTGAAAGGGCCTGATCTCCTCTGATCTCGGAAGCTAAGCAGGGTCGGGCCTGGTTAGTACTCAGATGGGAGACTTTATATATAAGTAAATATATTCATATTAGGGGGATGTGCTCTCGCAGGGTTCCATGAGCAAAAACCTTGTAGTTCTAATCTAAATAATTAAGTTGTCCAGATACCTTCTTCTTCCCCATGCTAGAGAAGGAAAGTATTCCATAACTTACGGTCATTTTCTTCTTGAATTTGAACATTAACCATATCGATACAATTCTGAATTTCATTCCAGCTTAAGTTATCTTGTCCTTGGGATAAGGCTTCTAGTTTAATGGAGAGTAGTGAGTTTGCATACCTGCAGAAGAGAAAAACAATCATAATGTCAATCAGAGACATTCATCCTTCATCATTCATGTTATGTACCTTAAATACGATGCAAGGCCATGCAGATGTTATGAGATTAGACAAAGAGTAGAAAGGCAAAACTGTCTCGTGCAACTTTGTCAGCATACACCAAGCTCACTTGTACTAATGGCGTTTTTTTCTTAAAAGCATTTTCATGTACAAATTCTGTTCAATGAAAGTTCCTCAAAATCCAACCTTATACCTAACCTCAAACAAAACGAGAAGCTCTCAACTCTACCAAACTACCTCCCCCTCCCCACCCCAGTTACTGATTTCCCCATCCTTTGCATGTCTTGGTTCTGCTCAGTTCCAGATGATAAAATTCAGAGCTATCATGGCTCTCAATATTTCCATCATAAAAGATCCTTTTAATAATTATTTCTCTTGTCCCTCCCCAAATCTAAGTTTTGAAAGGCCTTTTCCTTTTGAAAGGCCTGTAACCCCAATATAGCTGGGGCTGCCTTAAGGCCTACTATGCCCATGGAGGAGTTAAATTAAATGCAGTTCCAGAAACCCTGCTGAGTGACACAGATCTTCACTATGTGTTTCCTTGAAGAGGTGGTACATGAGCTGAACCAGAATATCCCAAACTCCCCCTGCTCATTTCTCCAAAGGCTCCACGGCAGCCACACAAAGGTCTCTTTCCTGTCCCTCACCACCCAAGGCACCCTCCCACCTCACGACCCTCGACTCTCCGCACCGTGCATCCCTCTAAAGCACAGAGTCCGTTTGACGACTCCAATTATTTTTTTTCTCTTCTGCAGAAATTTCATGGAAAAAATCATCCATACTGATATATCAAGAAACTTTTATTTCCCGATGTCAATTTTTCCATTTAAAAATCACAGAACACATGGCTAACAGCCAAAAGCAAAGGAACTCAATGGTTTAGCTTTACATCTTTAAGGAAATAAAGAACAATCCCCTGTGTACCTACTGATTCACTGTGCGGTTTGACTTGTGAATAGCTTCCAGGGATTTCCTAATAGCAGAGGTTAAAAGGAGTACCACCATAGTGAGTCTAAAAACTGTTTTCCTGGCAGTGACAAATTTTCTCACATTTTTGCATGCTTCAAGGTGCCACTGAGGTGTCTTCCATAGATAGTAGCTTCAGAGAAAAACATTCCATATAGGAAGTAGTGGGGATGATTTATTGTCTGTAACTGAATGAGGCCTCACCAAGGGCAGGTGGGAAAACTGGCTTAATTTTGTGTGTGAGATTTTTACCTTACCAAGAGTTACAAACCTAAGAAAATACTCCACTCCACTAGCAATATGCAATAACCAATACTGACCACAATAACAATATGGATAAATGCCAGCTTTCACTGGCTAGCATCCCTCATGGACAGGGACCATTCTAAAAGTGCAAAGTCCTTACGAGCATTTCATACACTTAAAGTCTAAATGATAACCCAACAGGGGTAAAACGAGAAAGTTAAGAATAAACAGTATAAGCACAGAAAAAGATACAACTACCCATCTTTTCTTTAGATAGGAACAAAAACAAGCTAAAGGGGAAAAGAGTTTTGGAGTAATACAAGAGAGCTCCACAGGTTTTCTAAGTAACTATTTGTTTCCAGTAGTGAGGATATCAACTTTGGAAAAAATATTCCATACCCTACCCCAAGAGGTCTAATGTTCTTCCTTCTTACTCTTTCCTTGGAGCTCTCCTCACCTCATGCTATGGACAGAGCAAGGCTACTGGTCTAACAGGCCTCGGAAGCTTTAAGATTAACAATTGATTTCAGCAGATGTTTAGTAAGCACTCACTACATGCAAAACATGTGGCAGGCACTACAGGAATATTAGCAAGAACAAGATGTTGCCTTGACTTCCAGGAGCTTTCAAGGCTGGTGGGTAAGATGACAAAAACTCAAAAAGGGCTTAAGAGCAGAGTTCAGGAAAAGCCACAGGAGTAGAGATAGTCCCCTAGGAGGGTCCGAAGGGAGGGGAAGTAGAAGGAAATCGCTACAAAAAATTTAAAAATTAGCCAAGCATGATGACATGTGTCTATAGTCCCAGCTACTCAGGAAACTGAGGCAGGAGGATTGTTTGAGCTCAAGAGTTCAAGGGTGCAGTGAACTGTGATCATGCCACTGTACTGGACAACAGAGTAAGACCCTTTTTTTTTTTCTGAGCAAAGCCAACCCAAGAGTGGAAGCTATAATGAATAGGTAGAGACTTTGCAAGAATTTGTCAAGGTGGTCTTGTCTAGCACTCTTATGCTACGTAGAACCTACACTCCAAGCGGAGTGGTCCTGGACACAGCAGTGTTTCTCAAACTTGATAATCTACATGCCTGGGCTTCCAGGAACCCAGGTTAAGAAGCTGACTTTGGAAATAAAATGCTAAGGGTGTGGAAGATGACCTGGGGCCAATACAATTGTCAATGTAAGAACCAAAGTACACCCCAAAATCTCATGTCAGTACAGGGCCATTTGGGTGATCCAGAAAGTGCTTAAATCAAATTTTAAAAAATCAAAACACGCACATTTTTAAAGTTTTTCATAGAGAACACTTGAACTCTGAGGCTGTATCTATAGGTCTCAGCTGACAACCACAGGTATAAATGTGATTCTCAAATCAAGTGGGACCACTTCCTTAAGGGGTATTTGTAAATGGGGCAATGAGCATTTTTGATAATCAAAATGGGTGACTGGGTGGGTCAGTGGGGGGGGCGTTACTGTCATTTACAGGGCACTGGCCAGGGATCCTAAGTAATGGGGGCAATTTTGACAATTATCTCACCAAGATGCCCCATTATCCTGTAAGCTTTATGAGAGAGTGACTATCTCTGTCTTCTACTCTAGCAGTAAGAAGACAGCAAAGCCTGATTAGGTAAGAATGATTAATGAACGAGGAGAAAAAGAGGTAGGATGATCAATTTGCAGGTAACTACAGAAGCAAAGGTGAGAAGTCTAAGTGAGAATGGTTGCGGAGAAATGGAAACATTTTACAGAGCTATAACGCACAAAGATCAGCTACTAACATTGGGAGAGGTGATCAGGCTCTTCACAGTACAAGGGTGTCTGGCAGAGGAGAACTCAAGTTGAGTGTGAGGTTTCCAATCTTGGAGAAGAGGGTGGTGCCATTAATAGAAGCAGTGGAGGTAGGAATAAACTACCTTGGAAACAGACTCTGAGGAGTCCTGTGCATACCAGATGGCCAAATTTAAGCCAAACAAGAGCATTCGTTTCTCCAAGAAGACTAAAAACAAGGAAAATCTATTGTCCTTCCACTACTTTTTCCGCTATTCTCTATGTAGACAAATGGTCAAAAACTGTTTAAAATCTAAATCTCTTTGATTTTTCTTGTGCAAGTGTACATCACCCAAGAGAATTCAGCCAACCTATCCACTGGAACAGTTCCAGAATCAGTCTCTGAAAGGAACTTGTGTCAAGACCTGCACAGACATCTCCCCCTGCTGGCCACAAGAATCCAAGATTCACTTGTTTTAACTCGAGCTTTTGTCTTAGTGAATCTCTAAGTTGGCTCCTTATTCTGGCCCTTGCGTTGACTTTTCTCTTACATCCACTAGGGTGTTTTATGATACTATCAACTGTACTATCTAGTAGCACATTTCAGAGACATAAAAATTACATACTAAATTGAGGTTGTTACCCACTGCCATGAGGCACTGTGGTCTCAGGATTCCTTTGGCTTAACAATCAGAAGAGTGGGGTTTGGGGCTCAACTTCCCCACTCCAGGTCCATGACTCCAGATTCTGTTTCCTCATCAGTGAAATAAAAGAATTGGCCTGGGTGATTATTAAAGTTGCTTCTGACTCTATATTCTGTCATTGCCAAAAGAAGCCCAAGGGAAGATATGTTTTCAATATATCCTTTGTTTTTAGCCTATCAAATAATCTTTGCCAATCACACAGTCAGCCATTAATTGCTACAGGATAATCATTTGCAGATTCCCTTTGTTCCTGGAAGGACTCTTAAAACAGAGTTGATTAGCTTTTAAGAAATATAAGCATGGTATATGGATTCCTCCACTAAGGAGCAAATTCTTAACTTGTAAGATCTGCCAAACACGCATTTCTGCATTGAAAGACAGTTTGAACAACATTCCTTACCGTTCCACATATGTCTCGTCCAGATTGTTTAAGCCTATTGTGGGGCTTCTGAGTTGATTCTGCACGGAGACAAGATCGTTGCTTTCCAAGGCCTGGTTTAGTAAAGCAACCGCAGACAACATTTCCACCGCAATCAAGAGCTCCTCGTGGGCCAAGTAGTTCTGTTGGAAAACGTGGCAATATAAGCGCCCCAAATAACATACCTCACGTTTATGATGGACGTTCAGAATGCACATTTCAAAAAACAATGAAAAGGCAAAGATCTTGATAGCCCAGCAGAAAGAGGGGTCACTGGCCACCTGCTTTCCACTGGCTTTAAAGGAGGTAAATGGCTCCTGAGTTTTCCTTTGATAATCATTTTGGGGACCGCATTAATTATAACAGTTATGATGCCACAAATACTTGCATTCCCATAGCTGATTCCTACTCCCAGCTACTGCCTGCTTAAAGGCTCAGTCCGACCACATAATTAAGCCAAGAACTAGACAACATTGTCACTGACTGAGAGTGTGAGGTCAGATTTAACACAAGCTAATGATTTCCCGTTTGAATTTAGGGTAAAGGAAAGGAGGGGAGAATTTCACTTAAAAGTCATAACCACAGGGAAATCATGCAAGGTCTGTAAACCGAAAACATTGATTTTAATTCCAAAAAAGTTAGCCTAAGTTACATTTTTATACGTTGGGTAGAAATTTTAAAATGTACTACAAAATCTAGATATTTAAAGAAATCTGAGGTAATCCTTTGGTAATGCAAGTAAGGATCTCCAGATTTATATGATTTAAAATCTGGATTTGGCTTATCTAAAAAAATACACCTTAGCTTTCAAAATACCCTTCCCCTTCAGTATTTTCTTCTATTAATATTTAACCATTTTACACCGTCTTGGCCCAACTTCTAAGGGAATTTGTTTCATGGTATTTTGAAAAAACAAAGAGTATGAAAAAGAATCACTTAAAAAAATAAAAAGCTGAAATACATCTTTACATTTAGGATATATGTATTTAATATATAACATAACATTTATATTAAAATGTATTATTATAGTTTTGAGTCTCCACAAAAATCTTGCAACAAACTGATTTTAGAATAACAAAATAAAATTTTACCTTCCAAAAGGAATGGTTATTACAGAGAGCAAGTCAACAAAGTTTATCCAAATATCCTACATTAACTACAAGTTTAACATGTAAGTAATGTATAAAATTATAAGAGCAGAAGGGAATGATTTACGATTCCTTCTATCTCTTTGAGTGAACTGTCCACAAGTACCTAACGTGCCATACAGCAAAAAGGATAAGGGAAAAGGAAGAAGAAATAGGGCTGGACAACCACAGGTTAACTATGACCAGTTGAGGATGAAGGACTGTGCTACAGTATAAGTCACCTCGCTAGAAAAGTGAGAGAAAATAATAATGAGAGAACCTAAGTGCAATTTAAGAAAATAAACTATTTTTTATCATAAAACACTATATTTCTATTTAAAAAAACACACAAACCTTTGATAATAAAAAACAAACCCTACCACCAAAACTCTTTTGTGTATATTCTTTTCTGTATTTTTAATTCATGTATACATTTATAAAGGTTTTGTTTTTTTAACTGAGTTGACTTTTATTTTCTTACAAAAAAATGAGATAAGGCTATATATTTTAATGTCAGTTTTTTCCACTTAATAGCAGTGTGGACATCTTTTTCAATCATAATTCTTTACATTATCATTTTTACTGGTTGCACAGTATTTATAGCACATGGAAGTATCATAACATAAGTTAAGCAATTTGTTATTAATCTGTTATTAATTAAACATGTGGTTTATTATAAATAATGCTGTGAAACATCTCTGCAGCTAAAGCTATTGAATTTACATCCTGCAGGCTCATTCTCTAGACTGTAACTGTCAGCATCATGGGCCTTTAATGCATGTTGCTAAGATGAGCCCCCCCAGAAAGGCTGTCCAATTCACACTCCCATCAGCTGTGTAGCAGATGCCTGCTGCCTCACATTCATACTTACTCTGGGTTAAATATTTCTAATTTCTACCAGTTTAATTTTTTAAAATAATTGTACTTTGTTTTTGTTTTCTTTTTTTTTTTTTTTGAGACAGAGTCTCACTCTGTTGCCCCAGCTAGGGTGCCATGGCATCAGCCTAGATCACAGCAACCTCAAACTCCTGGGCTCAAGTGATCCTCCAGCCTCGGCCTCCCAGAGTGTTGGGATTACAGGCGTGAGCCACCATGCCTGGCCTGTACTTTGTTTTAATTTACATTTACTTACTTCTGGTTGAATTTGAATATTTTTTTGTGTATTTGTCATTTGTATATTTCTTGTTTTGTGAATTGTCTATTCATGCTCTTGGCCTCTGTTTTTTTTTTTGGCTGGTAAATGCTGATTCTCATTTTTAAGATCCAATGAATGCCCTATGTTTCTCCTTAGAACCTTACGTTTTAAAATTATTTTTTACATTTAACCTTTTATTTTGAAAATTTATTCTGATGTGTTATGTGTAATGAGTTAATAATGGTTAAATACTTGTAAGGATTTCATTTATTATATAATCTTTCCCCCACTTTTCTGAAATACAAGCTTGCTCATAAATTGAATCTTGGCTCTGCTTCCAGTACTTTTCATTGTGTTCTGCTATTTGGCTTACAGGAGCGCTAGTAAACATGTTCTTAATTACTGTAACATATGAAATTATTGTTTAATACTATTAGCATATTAAGGAGCATACATTTATAAAAATCAAAGTCATGGTGCTAATGCTCTTGTTTGCAGTTTTCTGAAAATGCAGATTGAGCTTATTTCCTATATCGAAAGCATTATACACTTAAAAAAAATTAGTATAGCTAGAAAATTATCCAAATTCTTCAAAAATCACATAGGGAACAGGAACAATCTGTTTTCGTGTGTAAATGTGTGGACCACTGCCTGAATTTCCTGACTATGCTCTCCGCTTTTTTATGTAGACTAAAAGCAAGAGTGAGAGAGGAGGGAGGCCACGGCATCGGTGCAGGTGGGTCAATGAGACTGGGGACGGGTACGACTTAGAGACTCTACAGCCCCAGCATTCTTCTTTCCTCACCAGCCTTCCTTACTGGACTCAAGGTTACCATCTCGGTAACCGCAGTCTCCTCTGACTTACCATGGCGTTCTGCTTCTGGAGGTTGGAAAGTTCGTTCTGATACATAGCAGCAGCGAAGGGATAAACAGCAGGCAGCTGGGCCTCCGGTTTCTGCAGTGCGAGCAGTGTGTTCTCAGGGTCGCCTTCCAGAAGGACGGCATTGATGTGGTCCACTGCAGCCTGCCCTGAGGAGGAAGGTCGACATTCCATCAGAATGCCTGCTTTTCCCTCCACTGCCTGCCCCAACCAGCAGCACTTCCTTCCAAAGATTTGAACCTAAGCAGTCACTTGCCATGAACTCCAACAAGCTGCAAGTGGAGGGCAGGCAAAGCCTTGAAAACATTCTCTCGGCAATTTAAATCAGTTCAGTCCTTGGAGTCAGTCCCTGAAAGAACCTCAGCACAGATGGAGTTTGGCTTATGAGATCCTGCCTACCTAGCACGATTTTCCTACGAAGTCTTTCCTTTCAGATCGGCTCTGGTCCCACCTCTTCTGTGAAGCCTTCAAATTGCTCCAGTCCCTGGGGACCTCCCATGTGGCGAACCACTCAAAGTGGGGCCCTGCAGTTCCAGCGGGCTTGTTCTCTGATGCTCCCTGTGGGTCAGCACTTTGGTACTGCCTCCCAAGGAGACTTTAAGCCACATGAAGACCAGAAACAAGCCTTGCTCTACTGCTGTGTGTTCCTGCTGAGTAGGCACCGTGGCAAACCCGCAGCAGGCACTCAGATACTTGGCTGCAGCCACCATCTGATACAACCATAAGCTCTGTGATCTCTCCACCATTTGTGAGGTTCAGATTACAAAGACCTCAATTTTGGTGACCAAACTTAGGTGCTTGGAAAAGAAGATTCAGCATAGTTTCCAGAGCGCAGAAACTGAATTGCTGACCAAATGGGACAATGAGTAATGAACTCTGCCAGCAGGCAACAGCAAACCAGACGAAGCCTGCAGGAAGGAATCTGGGTAGCAGAAGGAACACAGACCCTCAGATTTCTAGAGCTCTTCAAGGGTTAATCTGTCTGCTTAATACATGACTAGACTGCAGCCAAGATTATTCTAACTCTTTTTGACAAGATGACAATTTTTCTTTTCCAAATACATTCACAAGGAGCTTCTTTCAATCTTTTTACTAAATGGTCACTAACCTTTGACATCACTCAATAGCAGGAAATATGACTAATGGAGTCCCTCAATTCATCCCCCAACCCCTAGAAAACTCACACTTCATCTAAAGGACCCTGAGAGCCCATGCACTTTTCTATCTTTAAAAGTGTGACAAATGAATTCCAGAAAGGAAGGTCAGTGGTTCTTTGTGGTGTTTGTTGTTCTATAAAAGTTATCCAAGGCTTCTTAGCTGCCATCTTAGATTACTCTAGGTAGAATCTTGCTTCACCTCTGATAACTTTATTACATTGGTTTGTAAAACTGGATGTTAAATATTAACAGAAAATCGTATCTTCTTAAAACACTTATAATAAACTGCTTCTTTTAAGAAAAAATAAGGTAAGTTCAACTTCTCTTTTGTACTCTGCATTTAACAAAATTTCTAGACGTGATCTTAACAGAATATATCATGTAATGAATGGAATACATGTTCCAATAACCATTCTTACATGTTTTTGAGTGTACAACTGTTCCATTATCATGTCACCAACTAAAATATCCTTCAGAGGTTTTTTTCCCCAAGACTACTTTTCAGTTCTACTGGACTATAAATTTAAGATGGAGAAAGATTAAAAAAAAACAACCTTCAGAATAGTCATGTTCTGCATTTAAAGCCAAACACTGCAATGCCCATCATCAGTTTCAGCTGGTTATGCCATTAGTGCAAATCATCCAAAGTCTTTTACTTAAAAATGGAAAAAAATACACATATGGCCAATTTGGCATTGAATCTGTGGTCAGTAAATTATGGCACTGAGTAAAAAAAACATTTATATAAGGCATTTTATTTAACATGAAAAATAAAACTGTTTTAGTGGTTATAAACATTTCACAAATAAAGGATGGTAAGAAGTCTATGGAACCATTTCCTCTCCAAGCTCGTGGACCTCAGATGTCTTGCTGGTAGTATTAATTTCTTCCTGTAATTCGTTTCTGTCAAGCATAATGAAATTCTCAGCTTTCACACAGAACAGAAAGAGAAACTTTAAATTGTACCTCATGTATCATCAGCAACATGTTCAAGATTTAATAGGAATAAAAGAACAGGAACACGCAACCCAGAATGTTGCCTTTAAAAAAAAAAAAGTCACCCGAGAGCTCTCAACAATGTAGTGTGTGTGTGAAGTAAACTGTCCAACACATTCCAGCTGTTAATGTCTAGATGTTCACATTAGTCTGCTCGGGGTACCCTTGATTACTGTTTGAACCCTTTAGGAAATAGACCTCCCCAGCAACTTGGGAGCAGACTTCTGAGTAACCCCTATAGGTATGCATTTCTTTGAAGGCATTAAGAGTAATAAAGAATATTCAAAACTCATCTAGGAAGTTAAATTGAAGGCAACGTTTAGGACTGCTGTAATTCGTGGACACTCCAAGTTTTAATTTGGCAGAGAGTTCACATGCTTTATTAAATGGGCTAAGTAATCTTTCATGTGTTAGTTTTTTGGTATATATAGGTTATTCAGATTGACCTAGGGGAAATAAAGGTCAAATAAAATTCCTTACTGACTCTAAAAATTAATTTTACTACAGGGGAGAAAAGATTAATAAAAAAGTATCCAAACTTGCATATGCTTCCTTCCGTTGACCCAAGTTTTCTGTCCTTTATAGCCACACACCTGAATTAGGTACTAAGTGGAACTAAAGGGACTCCACAAGTGCTCAGGGAGGTGGGATTCAAATCTGCCATCATAAGATTTCATCTGGCACTAAAGCTACAAAAGCTATAAGAAATAAACAAAAACCAATTCTTACTAACCGCAGATGAATGAGTAGGAAGTAACAGAAAGCAGTGGTGTCAATAATATCTTTTACAATTCCAATGAGAACACCAACACATAATCACAGGCAAAGAACTACAATCTTTAAGTCAATCTTTTACTAAATGACCTTCAATATTAATCCAAAAAGGGACAGATTAAAAATATGAAATGCATTATAGCTATGATCAAACAGGAATATAAAATCAAACTAGCTTCAGGACACTTTGAGATACTATGTGTGGACCAGGAGGCAGGATCACCAAAAGCAGCTCAATGGGAAACTGATTCTGTGCCATAATTAACAGCATTGACATTTAGTAGATTTTTCATTTTATAAGATAGTTTTTTGTTTTTCTTTTTGAGACAGAGTCTCTGTTGCCCAGGCTACAGTGCCGTGGCATCAGACTAGCTCACAGCAACCTCAAACTCCTGGGCTCAGGCAATCCTCCTGTCTCAGCCTTCCAAGTAGCTGGGACTATAGGCATGTGCTACCATGCCTGGCTAATTTTTTCTATATATTTTTAGTCATCCAGCTAATTTCTTTATATTTTTTTTTTTTAGTAAAAAAGACGGGGTCTCGCTCTTGCTCAGGCTGGTCTTCAACTCCAGAGCTCAAATGATCCGCCCGCCTCAGCCTCCCAGAAGATTACAGGTGTGAGCCACGGCATCCGGCCAATAAGGCAGTTTTATAAGCAACATAAGTTGAGTGTTTTGCTGGAATTATGGCAAAAGGAAAGTCTGCACCTTATAGAAACATCCATTTCCCTCTCACAATCCATTACTTACTGTTGACTTTGTTAACATTGCTTTGGATTTCCGCTTGCGTCAGCAGTTCTTCATATGCGTCTCTTTCTTCTTCTGAAATACAGCTATTCTGCAAAAACAAAGTCTTCACTGGTTCCTGACATTAAATACAATGTTTCCAAAGCTTAAAACTCAAATGTAAAAATGCAAAGATAAAACCCATTCACTAATCTTCATTTGAACTTAACGTAAATATTTGTAGAGTACTCTGCACAAGGCACTAGGACAGAAATGCCAGGCAAGGATTACAAAAGTGGACCACAGACCCACTCTCCGAAAAGGGCTAATTTTCAAATGTTGACAACATCAGGTAGACCACTTGATGCAGCCATTTTTTGTAGTTCAAAATCAATTGAATATTGGCAATTTCAACTGATTCAATCTAATAAAATCAGTAACACAAATAATGAATATACCTAGTAGAAGAGAATAGATTCTATAGGAAGAGTACTATAAACATTTCTTAAAAAAGGATTCACACTTAGTTAAGAAAATTTTGAAAAGAGAGAACATTGAGGAGGGCCTCAAGGAACAGTGTACTGTGAAAGGCTGAGATGAAGGTGAAGGAACAGAACACAGATGCCAGGCTACAGTGTGTGGCCAGGGTGAGACACAAAGATGGGGAGCTCAACTGAAGGCCAAGCTAAGGTCGATACTTAACTCAGTTGTCAACAGAGATTAGGGAAGGCTGCCAGAGCTGACAGCAGATCTGCAGTTAAAGGTCAAGTTTACAACCTCTAGCTCTGAGAGGGGTTGGCTTGGAGGAGACCCATCAGGAGGGAGCCCGAAGGGTCCTGTAACGAGGTCAGGACAGAGCCAAGAGTGGAGACACCTGACAGTAGATGAGGGATTCCAGCCTGACAAGGCAGCAGAATCTAGCAACGGTTGGGACACAGGGAGCATATTAATAAAAAGAGTTCTGAGACAAGGTGGTCACCATTCCAAACCACGGCAGTCAGAAAGGGGTGCTCTTCTGCCACGGTGGGGCTTGAGGCCCGAGGGACACAGGTGAGAGAGCTGGAAGAGCAGGAAAGACCCTAATTTGGGAGGGGCTGGTATAAAGTGACAGCTGATTTCTTCAATGAGCAGATGAGCTCCGTGGAGGAAGAACAGAGAAGGGATTCAATGTGAGACTGCGAAGAATGCCCACATTGAGAGGGAGGACACAGAGGAGAACCCTGGCAGCAAAGATGTGCAGAAGTCGGGGGAGGGGAGAGGCAGAGAATCGCAACACAGGTGGGGCGGGTGGGAGACAACTGTGCTGGATGCTTGGGAAGCCACCCCTTGAGGAAAGGTCAAAAAAAAAGCAGTTATTTTTAGTAAATGAAGCTGACACTGACATGGCAATGAGAGAAAAGTTGGTGAGGAAGTAGCAGCTCTCAGCTTAGATCAAACTCTCAATAACAGACTAGACAGGAGGGTGGGGAAGTATGGAGTTAGAGTCAGGAGCAGGCTGTCTGGCCAAGGAGGGACACCTTCAAATCTAGGGAGTTAACTATTGGTAAAATATCAAAGCAGTAGGTTAAAAAACATCCTCTCCAAACTTCACCACATTGAATTATTAACCTCCGCTCATAAACAGAAAGGTAACTTGGCTAATACAAGGTATGCTGATGACACCTAACAAGGGACAATCTTTAGCTGCTACTTCTACACTTTCTGTGTAAGTAGTTTACAACAGGACCTTTAATCCTGCCAACCCATAATATTCACCATAAAAGAAGATCTAAATTTCCTTATGTAGTACATGAGCTTCTTTCACCCTTACATTCCATCCAAACCAATTGCCTATGGCTATAGAGACCATAGCCAATTGATTTAAAAATATCACTTGCAACATTAATGGTTTTTCAGCCCAGGTGTGGTGACTCACACCTGTAATCCCAGCACTCTGGGAGCCCAAGATGGGAGAAGCACTTGAGGCCAGGAGTTTGAGACTAGCCTGGGCAACAAAGCAAGATCCCATCTCTACAAAAAAAATAAAATAATAAATAAGGCTTTTTCAAACTAGTAACTCAGAGCCATATTCATTACTGTATTTATTACTCAGAATCTGATTAGGTACCTTTAGTCTTGCATTTTCCTCTTTTTTCTTTTTGGCTTCCCAGAGTTCCTTCTGATATTCCTGTGCAAGGTTGTCGTCCACTAAAGTTAAGACTGCATTGGGGTTTCTTAGCGTTACGATGGTCTGCTCTGCGACTCGTTTTTCAATAGCTTCATTAATGGCTATAACTGCAGCATGTACTGAAAAGTAAAGAGAGAGAAAGATTTCTATCAGGAAAAGACAACATGAGCAGTTACATCGACACTGCATAAACTGAAGCCGTTCCACTTTCTTCCTTGGATTCCAGTAAGGAACAAAAAGACCTCATACGTATTATGGAGCACCTGACCACCTCTCCACAAGCCTGTCTTTGGTCCTGATCTCAGCATCTGCTATGTAGTCGATACTCATTGATTCAATTTGCACTGAATGGCTAAAATGAACCAAGCAGTATGTTGACCACCGGGGGTTGGAAAGTCACAGTCTTTCCAACCTGTCCCTCTGGTCAGGGCAACACTGACAGTTTTAAAGTAACATATTGGATCCAAGAGATACTTGCTATTTACCTCGCCACGCTAAAAGATATGTAGCAATGTGTTCTACCACTAAAATCTAAAGACATAGAAAGTAGAGAACTATTTGAGACTAAAGATGTTTCTGGAACTTCTTAATTCACATTGCACAAGAAGATGTCTAAAGACCCAAATCAATTACTTGGTTATGATCTGACATCCTCAAATTAACCATCTATAATATGAATAACAACTTTTAGGATGCTTAGGGTATCTTCTAAATATTATATTGCATGTAATCAAAATCAACAATGTATAGGTAAATCTCACATCAATGGCAAATTTGGATTTTAAACAGACTTACAGGCAGCTTCATCCACAGATAGTTCATTGGCCAGAATACCACCTATTTTGCTGAAAGATGGCATCTGTATTCCGTATTTCTCAAGCTCTTTTCTCATGTTACTGATTTCTTCCTCTAAAAAAGAACCAGCAGAAAAAAGAGAGAGAGAGAGAGAGAGAGAGAGAGATCAAAGAAAGTCACAGACAAGCAAGCAGGAATGATCATATTCTTATCTAGAAATGTCTTCATCAGGAAGGTGGGGTTGTTTCTAAATTAAAGCCTTAGGAAGAACCCAGCCCGAGTGTCTCATTTCACAAACACATGAAATGAAACACAGTCAAGCACAAATAAGACAGGTAAGTTTTCTCTTCTTGTTAATACAGAGGAAGAAAGGGAATCAATCAAAATCAAAAAAAGTATTGGTGTATTCTTTTAACTAGATTGGAAAAAAAATATATAAAAATAGTACCTGTGAAGTCCACTTTGCCCAACAAATCCTGGATCTGAGGTGCTATTCCTAGTTTGAACAGATATAAACTGAAAGGTAAAGCACAAAATCATTAGAAGCTTTATCATTATAAACCTTAAAGTTATAAATTAAATAAATCTTAAGAGTTTTCTCAGTTGAGAAGAATCTAAGATATCTAATCTACTCATTTTACAGATGAGGAAACTGAGTCCTGAGGTAACATAGTCTCTGTTGGGGACAGGACCAGAACCGCAGTCTGAGTCCTAAAGACTGATCTGCAGTACACAGCACTTTTGTAGCATCAACCAACTCTCCATCATCCATTTGTAAGAAGAATAAGAAACACAGCTAATACAAAACAGCAGGTAACAAATAAACATTTCTTTAGATGTTCCTCCCATGATTCTTGTTTTGCTAGAAGTATAGTTTCAATTATATTTTGCTTTTCAATATTCCTCCAAGTACCATACACCTCTTGAGGAAACATTTGTTTACATTTTCTAAACCAAAAGTGTGGGGCAAGATTATTGATGGATGGGGTGACATTAAAGATAAACTGCAATGTGTGCGTATTACCAAGTGGAAGATGGAGAATAAATTGTATGTATTTAAAGACAAATCCCTTAGACAGTAATGACGGCATCCATTAACCTATCCATAACCTCAAAAGTGACTTGAGAGCTGGCATCTAAAGTCTATCACAAGCATGTCATTACACACTTTTCCCACTTAATCGCTGAATAACTGTTTCTGTTCCACATTTCTCCTATCCTCCCCAGCCCCAAGATTAATTCTAGCAACCAACTAGGAAAATTTATATTTCCTTTCTTATAAATTTTGGTAAGTTTATAATTTATGGGACTTTAGTGGTTGAAACTGCACAATAATAGATATTGGAAAATGAACTAAGAATGATTTTGATGGCTTGAAACATTTCAAGATTATCATGTCAGATGATATGAGATGGATTTCAGCTGTTTATAAAAACATAAAATTTAACTAGAACATGTTAAAGAAGTTCAAGATTAAGCCTTCTTAATGGTATTAAAATAAACTCTTAAAATATGATTAGTCAATATAAGTCTCTTACATTGAAATTGACTTTTTTGGATCATAAGTTCTATAAAACACAATTATTTAGAAAAGCAATACATGAGTGATTTTAAAAATGAGATTTATGGTTTAAAAAATTACATGGAAAATCACCTCCCAGAGTTAAATACTAACTACTTTGATATAAATCCTTTTTATGTTGTTTCTGGACATACCTCTTTTATAAACTATTCTGCAACATAAATGTACTATAATTCCATTAATTGCTGAGCATTTATGTTGTCACTAATAACTACGGCAAATAATACTTCAGTGAACCTACTTATAGACATATACATCTTTGTGTATATTACAATCCCTAAAACCAAATCACCAGATGGAAAAGGTACACACAGAATGAAAGTTTTCAATGTATATTGTCCAAAAACCCCCAAACTCTTTTTCTTTCTGCATGAGAATCTGAACTGTAGTTAACTTTCTAGCTCCTAGGAACCTGACAAAAGTATACCATCAACTATGTTACTAAGCATCCTTGCTTGGGACAAAAATTATCCCTGATTAGTAAGTTTTATCTTAACTGGAAGGAATCATAAATACCTAATAGAAACCATATCTTCAGGCCTTCCTGAGCTCAGTGACTCTTATAACTCATATATCCTTTGCAGAGAGCGGGAAGCTATGCAGTGGGCTGTCTGTCCTGCAGGCATGCCGGCTTCTAAGCCTGCGAGGCTCAAACCCACCAATGTGAGTCTCACTCCTTAACAGCAAAGTTGTCACCTGGGGTACCAAAGAGATTAGCTACTAGATGGCTGCGTAGACAACCACTTGGCGTGTCCTGAAGGCTCCTGCTGAAGAAGAAATACCTGCTGTCCTGCTTCGTGCTGGGTTTCCTGGCCGTTTCTATCCTGAGCAACTGGAAGCCGACTGTGGCTTATGACAGGAATGTGAATCGGAGCGTTTAGCTGAGCCTATGAATCCCCCTTGGGCTCTACCACCAATGTGTGGGAACGCCATTGTCTTTGTCCCCTTAGCACCTCAGTGTATTTTCAATGAAAAATTTCCCAAGCTATGAGCAACAAGATGCTATTTAAGTCTGCTTTTCCTTTTGTTAGCTGTGAAGGTAAACATTTTTTTCATACTCATATTGGTCACTCGTATTTCCACTCCTAGGAAATTTCCAAATTTTTTGAATTTTAAGGATTTTTTTGTGTGCGTGGGAGGAATTTACCTTTCTTTCATTTTCTCCTCTTTTCCTTCAAAACCATACCAAAGGACAAAAAACAAATGGCAATTTTTTTTAACCATATGGTGATGTTAATTTTAGTACTAAATTCCAATATGATACTCATATCTTATCCACAGGGGAAAGGCGTATTAAGACTTTGAACATTCTTCAATGTGAAACAGCCATTATGTATTCATAATTCAAAGCTAGCAAGACAGGATACATTCCTTAGTTTCAGTTCTAGGTCTTTAGAGATTATCAAGGATATAAAACTGTTTACTTTACACAGCCTCTGAAGACTTTACTGCCAAAAGTTCATGCCAAACAAGTCATTATAATTAAAACTAGATCATTAAAGATACCATGCTGACATTTTCAAAACCATAATATTTTATGAGCCACTTCTCAACTCATTATTAATGGGAAAAATATTCCAATTAAAAGGGAGCTCATATCATGTGGAACAATGAAATGCCAATCTCTTTATTTACTCCCTTCTAGTAACAGGCACTACAGAATTAAACAGAATTCAGTAAGGTAAAGCTGCAAAAGAATTGGGGTGGGGTGGGGAAGGGATCAAGCTATCACTTAAGAAATGAGAATAGACAAATGATCAAAAAATGTATCATTGTATCAATTCCTCTCAGGGTACCTTATTTACATTTTCCCATTTTGTAAATTAAAAATTATATCTGAACTAATTTATAAAGAAAACTATAAAAAGTTCGAGAGAAATTTTGAAAATTTGACAGTAAAACTTTAGAAGACATCCATAAAATGTCTTCTAACAACTTTTACATCTATTTTAAGTACTTCATGTGCTGTATCTTTAATATGTATTACCTATATTAATATCCTGCTGAAGTTTTAACACATACTTTTAAATTTACATTTTTATATGAAAGCCTAATCAAATCAATATCTACTATCCTTTATATAATTCTCTACCTATGTAATGTTGGGATAATTTAGAATTTTAGACACATGCTTTTATTTTTATATCATACACCAATAACTTAGATAACTACAAGTCTTATTAGTTTCTTTTCTAATTTCATCTCCCCAAATTTTCTTTTTTTAATTTTATCTTTGGTTCTACTATGTGTAAATTCTCAGTAAGTATTTGTTAAATGGATAAATTGAATGAATCGTCAATTGCACATATTTTAATATTTTTCATCTGTTTCTCGGGTATCAGTTCTGTATGTCAAATCTAATGCCTCTTTCACAGCAGCAGTTTCCTTCAAATGTCTGGCGCCTTTTGATTTGGGGCTCATCCTGGTGTTTAAAACTTGCTGTTTGTCCATTGTTGACTGCAGGTCCCCCTGACAGGAGCCCCCATTAGAAGGCTATCAGGGAACAATGAGATTGACAGGAGGGTGCCAGCATCTTGCCCTCTTAGACTGGGGACTCCCTGGCCCTGAGGTCGCTGGCTGTCTTGGGTGCTGGCAAGCTGTCCTGACATCAGCATCTACACTTGCTGCTTTAGGGAAAGGTCAGAAGGCTCAGTTGGTCCCAGCCCTGGGATTGCTTGCTTTGAGTCCCTCCTTTTCCTCGCTGTTCCCTTTGCTTAGAGCAAACCCCACGATAGCTCCTAGCTCTGCTGCATCTCTCAGGGTTTTGTAGGCTGCAGTCTTTTCCCAGATTGTTTCTCAGTCAATCAATCCCATCTGTTTACTTTCTGTCCAGAGTCATTCAAATTTCTGGTCAGTGGATGGAACTCCTTTTTATCATGAATGCATTTTTAAAAATTATTACTTTAACAATTTTATACAGTTTGGGAAAGGGTATAAAACAGCTGTGCTCATGACCTAGATACAACTGCTTTCACATTATGTCCTCTGTTTAATCCATTCATTCAATTACTACTTACAGAAGAGCTACTATATAAGAAATGTTTTTCTTACCATGCTGTCCCCCTAAACTAGGTGTTTAGGTTGTCACAAAACATAGATTTGTTGGTAACATGAACTAAAACATTTATATTAAACAAAAGTGTTAATTTTCCCCTGTGGGAATAAAGAAATTAGGTAGTTATTTCTAATATACTTTCTATTTCTCAATTGTATACTGTAATATTAACATAAATCTCCCAATAAAACATCCTGGTTTAACTAAAAGTTACCACAAGGTGGTGCTGAGAAGTTAGCTTTTTGGATGGAAAAATTTGCTTTTAACTTTATTTTCAATCTGAGATTTTAAGCTAGTATCTATCAGGTAGAAATTTCATTTGCATATACTGAAAATCTTATTTACTAAAAAATTTAAAAATTTAATGTGTATTTTCCATTTGGCTTCAATTTTCAATTTTTTTTTTTAATCATTGATGTTGAGTTTAAACTGTTAGCATTAAAAAGATCACTTTTCACAGTGTGGGAGTTTTATACCTAATCTTTGTGTGGGAGGCACGTCCAAGTAGATTACTCTATGAGGCAAATGTTTATTAGGAAACTCTATTTATCCAGTATTCCCATGCCAAAAAGAATCAGTAATAGCAAACTGCTCCTTCCCGAGCATTTAAATTCAAATGAGGTCATTCATTACCTGAACTGTACAGAAGATTGTATTTTAATCTTTAAAAAGCAGCTCACTGAATACAAAAATACCAATTTCACTTGGCTCTTCAACACTGAATTTATTAAGCACCTTTCAGTGTACAAAAGCCAGCACAAAGGGCTAAGAGCATTGCAAAGGAAACTGTGAAATTAATGTCACCATCACTTGCCATGTCTAAGAAAAGACTTTATATGAAGTAGCAAGCCTCTTACCACACCAAAAGGTATAATACAC